CACGTTTTGAGAATGTCGCCTCCCGCAAAGAAAGCCACTGCGCGGAAGACTGCATCGCGTACACCGCGCCCGAGTCGAGCAACAGCGGGATTAAGTTTTGGCTATTCTCCGGACAGCGATGAAGCCCGTTCTTCATCGCGTGTCACTCGATCTCGAGTCTCTCGCCGTACTTCCGCGCAACCAGTGTTTTCTGCGCAATCTTCTGGGTCATCGGGATCGGTGAGTGAAGCAGAGGCTCAGCAACCTTCAACGAGTTGGGCAGATGCAGTAGTCAATGCTTTGCAGCGCCGATATGATGCACAGCGGCGACGCACAATCTTACGACGCAATGCTGCTGTGGTTCGCCGTCAGGCCCGCCGAGGATTATTTGCTGCCAGTCCTGACGTTGAGATTCGTCAGCCGTCACCGAAGAAACTGCAGACGCAGGCAGAAAGACAATTGGGTACTCCTGACTTGACTGAAGAGGAGCCTTCATCATCTGAGACTCCGTCTGTGCGAGCAAAGCGAGGTACCGTCGTAATACCTTGCTGTTTTGGTTCCCTTTGCTTGATAATAATGATAGTCCTCAGTTTCCGTCATTTCTAGTCGGCTTTATCGATTTAAAACTCCAATCTATATTATTGCGAATCTGATTGGCGCTTCTATGTGGAATTAAAGGATATTTGGTCTGTGTTCTCGTTGCATATCCGTGATACAGTTTAGCGGGGATAATTCTTTGCCTCGCTGGTGTTAATTGTTGCTTCTTGTTTATATCAGATGAAGAGCATCTGCGTAAAGGCGGAATTTTATACGCGCCCTACAACCCGGATGCACCACGGCCGGTCTTCAAGACCAAGCAGACGGCTCGCAAACGAGCGCATTCCGGAGTATTTCCACGAATGGCTGTGGCGGATAACCGGGGTGAGCATCAGTTAGTGATTACCGAGGCTTATTTTTCCGGATTAAACAGATTTCATCGATATTATCCTCGTTTATACTTGTCGCGGTTTTTGTTTACCAACGGAGCTTTAATTAATCGATTTGATTTGTGTACCATTACGCGGTCCCTGCCCACGCCTCTCGCTTTGAATTGCGTCGCCAGTATTTATATTTGAACCCAGTTTTTGTTCGTCTGTTTGAAGTTTTGGACAAGCATCAGGAAGCGGATGCAGTTGCTCGTCAAGCGGCCATTGTATCTCCTGCCGTGGAGGATGATGATCCGCAGCCATCCACTTCTGCTGGACCATATAACTTTCGCACTCGTGGGCAAAAGCGCAAGTATAAGGAGGTTTCACCGTCCTCGTCTTCGGCGCCAAGCGAAGTATCTGTCTCGGATGATGGTGAAGAGCGTGAGGATCCTTCGGCCGTGTTATCCCCTGAGCAGAATGCTGAGGTCGAAGCTGACGAGAATGCAGATATGGTGGTCGATTGTGACGATGATGATGGATCTGATTTTGAGAAAATGGATGTTGATCCGCTGCCGTCTCTGCAGCCAGTTGCCCCGGCTGTAATGCCTATTCCGGCTGTTGCGCGTGAGGATTCATCTGAAATTGCGGAACCAGCAGTTTTTGGTCAGCATCAGCCGCACTCGGATGAACTGTAATGTTATTAATGTTTGCTATTGCACTATCTTCGCTGTATTCCTTTGGTATCGTCGGTTTCTTCAATTCGTGTCATAATGGTTCCTTTCATTTTATTCTTGCAGTGATATTTTGTAGAGTGGTATTACATTTTAGAACACAACGAAAATTTTGTCCTTCAATTTTGTTTTCCAATTTTACGCGCTGCGCTGAGACATTGAACTGGTCGTTAGTGTATTATATGTGCGCGATAGCCGCCAGTGCCGAATCTTTCGTTGTACCTGGATTAGATCTGATTTTCCGATTACGTTGAATTAAAAGGATATAGCGCGAAGCGCTGATTGGTTGCTTCTCTTACTAGTATGGAATCTGCCGCAGTTTAAAATTTCGCTCCCGCAGACAGGTATAAAATCACTTGCGTGTAGTGTGCAGAAATCGGCATTGTGGATTTTTCGTTTCGGCACCAGTGGTGTATTAGATTTCTTGCTTTTCCGAATGCGATTTTGACGCTTTTCTCTCTTCACTTTTAGCGTTAAAAGGTCACTAGTTTTCATTAGTTGGGCATGCCGCCTATTGATCCTAACCGAGCCTTTGATAAGTTAGTAGACGCCATTTTTCATTCGTCTTCTAACCAGCAGCAACAACAGTATAATGCCGGTTATAATCACCGAGGAAGGGGTGGAGCCCGTGGTGCTTACCGTGGCAACTTTCGTCCGTACGGCCGAGGAAATCATAGGAATTTTGGAGACAATAACTTGCGTCGTGGAAACGATCATTGGCGTCGTAATGGCCGACCTCTGGGCGCACCGGAAGTTATTGAAGTACCTGATGGAGACGCTCACCCAGTTGCTCCAGTGGAAGCTGCCGCCGCAAACATGGAGGTTGACGACCCGGGCAACCAAGCAGCGAATGCACCGAATCCGATCCAAGGCAACGGAAATGTGGCTGCAGGTGAGCCCAATGGTGTCAACCCTGCTGTCAATCTACATGGCCCACCAGCCTTGAATGCCGTTGTCGTTCCTCTGGCTGTCATTCCGCCTGTGCAGCAGCAAGCCCCGCAGAACGCTGAATTTCCCGGTTTGCCACCAAAAGTGCTGCCGCTTCCTGAAGTGCCGATTGTCCGCGATGCCCGCGACCGTTCTCCGGCTGATCGCCCACGTGCGCCGTCTGCGCCTTCCGGTCCTGTTGGTTCTGCTGAACATAATTTTGTGCCTGGTTATTTGGCTCAGCAACAGCAGCGGGAATTGGATGCCGATCGCCGACGACAGATGGCTGCGGAAGTTTCTCGCCGTTTGGATGCCGCTGCTGCATCTGGCTCCGGTATCACTGGCCTCTTTTCATTGGCTCCCAGTGCTGGCAAGTAACCTTGACTCACCTTTGTCCTTGATCTTTTGCTTTCTTTGATCTCGCCTTTTTACTGGCCTGGTGTTGTCTAATGATTTTGCCTTACCAAAGCCGTGTTGATCTTATTGCTACTGATATTCTTTTGCTGGTTTAAATTTGCTCTCATCTACCAGTAATTTGTGCTCATGATTTTTATGCGGATATTTTTGCTTGTTTGTTGTTGTTGACTGTTGTTACTGGATGATGTAGTACTCGAGAATTCGTAAGAATACTACTGGTTGTTGGTTATCGCGGTCCCGTTCGTTTAATGCATAATTCTACAGAATTCCACATAATCACATTTTAAGATTTTAGTTTCACAATTCATAAAGCTTTATGCCGTATACTGTACATACAAAACACCATCTACACTCAAGCGACACAATGTCAGTAATTCATAGTTTGCCTTCCTGGATCCTTGGACCTCCGCCCTGCCAAACCCGTGGACTTCCGGATGCCTCTTCGCCAAGGATTCCACACTAACTCTCTGGGGATCGCGGCGTACAGTCACATTGGGCATCGGATGGACGCGTGGATTGTGCGGTGGATCGGGATCAGGACGGATGGAAGTGCACAATCGCACTGGGATGTTGCGGGATGGATTGTTTATATTGGCACGGCCAAGCATCGTTCGTGGGGGTGACGTATGGGAGTAGGATCATACGCCGGATGTACGTACGGATGCTGACTGTCCGCCTTTCACCTGCAACACAACGGATAATCTAGTCAATCAATGCTGTGATTTGCTGTTCTCTTTTACTAGCGATGTACATGATGTCATAACGCAAAGTCTATATAAGTTCTTGTTACTTCTAATATCGGAATCGGTAGTCTGAGATTTACTTCTGAGACTGCTTTCTAATTACGATTTCCTAGCGTTGTGAACTGTGATGTGAATTGGATAAAGAGACAGCAATACTTGTTCCTACTGAAGTGCATAGTTGTTCCCGGATTATCGCTTAGTATACAGGTTTGCTCGTGACACAATCGTCCTAGCTCTTGCCGATCCTCACAGGACTTACGACCGGAAGTTGTGGTTAGCGTGTTCCTGAGGGATTCCTGAGTTCCTGAGTTCCTGATTCGTTCGTCCTATTTCCACCATAGTTCTTCTGTTACAGTTTGAGAGTACGAGTGCCTACCGATTGAGCATTACAGGCGTGGAAGAGTAAAGATTGTTCATGGAGCCTTAATCGGCGTGAACGCTTATACACGACAGTACTGACGGTTGCTGAATATATCGTCAAATACGGATGCTCTCTAACCTGACTCTACGGAAGCATTCTTGATTAGAATTTAGAAACAACAAGATGCAGGACATTATCAGAGAGTCCTTTTAAATTAACTATAAACGTTTAAATTGGTAGGGTTTTCAGAGTAAAAATGCAAAATCGTGTAAACGCTAAAAATAAGCAAACTGTAAACTGATAAACTTAAGCAAACGGCGTTTAAGTTTAGCAGTTATTAAAGGAATACTGCGGCAGTTTTAGAAACTCTGAACGCGCATCCTAAGACAACGAGCAACACTAACGATTTTGGTTATTTTTCAATGTTTAAATAAGTCATTTTAATTAGTTTCCAGTGCGCAGGCAATTTGTTATGTTTGGTGGCTACTGCCAAATAAAATAAATAACAGTAAGTTTGTGAAATATACAGAGCAGTTTGTCGAATTAACGAATATTTACTTTCAATGCGACGACTAAACCTAAAGTTTTTGTGAATAGGAGAAAAGCAGCGGCCTCATTTCTTACGATCGCCGCTTCTAGATGGTGGTACAGTGGTTCTGTACGCTGAAATAAGCGTTTCCCATAACGCCCATTAGGATGTTCACGCAGCATGGCGCAATTCATATCCGTATTCCTACTGAAAATTAAGCAACAACTGCAGTGCTTCAGCACAGCTGCTGCGTTTTCGCATTGTTACGCAGACTCTGGCTTCGGCTCAACAACCGGCTTTTTGGTTTTTCTTTACTGTATGTTTTTTGACCAACTCCGAATACATATATTCGGCGTTTTAACTTTCAAGCGAACGCAAAGTCAATACCAGCATTAATTTCCTGGATATCCAGCACTCTTGCCCCGCGGTTATTACAACTGTACAGGAGAAAAATGTGCAGGATTCTCAATCAGCGCCGCTTGGAGTATTATCTGAATCCTCAATACGACAAACGTCCACTATACTCTACAGGTAAATATCAGCAGCGAAAACAGCAATTGGCGCGATGCAGTGATGCTGCCAATGCTTTCCATCTTCAGGTGACGTCGTTTGGGTTTATGCTTCACCACCGGGCACGGATATCTGGCTGATCTACGAGGCCAAGGTAGGTATTAAATTACTATGTAACCCCAACATTTTCGAAACTGTTAGCAATAGAGAAAAAAATTTTTTAAGCTTTTTGACGTTGAATTGACAGGTTAGCAAATTGCTTACGTTGTCGTCGCGCTATCGTGACGAACAACTGGAAATGGAACCTTGTTTGCCGATGTACGAAGTGTCACTGCCATGGTTACTGTAAGCTCTATACCATCTTTACTTCTTATTTCAAGCTACACAGTCAGTTTTACGTCATGAAAATGATTTTCCCTTTTTAATATTAACAGATCAGAACCATTGGTGCGCGTAACTGACGTGTTCTTCGAGAACCACATGTACAATCGACAGCGGCTGACGGCCGAAGAGATGCTGTGCATTATCGGCGAGAACAATCAGATTGTACTGTATGTTTTCCCAGCCCTCTGTTGTCTTGGTGTACTGTATTATGAGTTGTCGTGCATCCCTGCTTTTGTTGTAGAAGCGATTTGTCCGAGGCGGAACGACTATTGGTCCCTCGTGACGGCTTGGTGTTCCTGGGCACCTCACAGATGGCCGCACTACGGGACTATGTCGCTAAGTATGGCGTGACCTCTACAGAATTTCTCACGATAGCGCGTAGTATAATAGATAACGTTTGCTGTTGCTTTCAGAACGGGCGGAATGACGGAATCCGAGCATACGAACTGCTGCGACTCGGATTCGGAAATCGACTGCAGTCTTTCTGTTACAGCGACTTGTCCAGAGTCACCTGTACGAGTGCATATACTGTACTTCCCGCAGTTCAACAGTCGATGCTATCAATTATAAATGACTGAACATGCTAAACCTCCGATTAAACACACAACCAGTGACGACGATTTGTAACAATTATCCGCAAACTGCGGTTTTGCACACGGACGCTAGAAGGCGGTTTATCCGCGCCCGCTGCCTTGACCAATGGCCAATGGGCGCACGCCGGCTAAATTGTTGATTAGCTAACCACTTTCCACGCAACGGCGCTTACACTGAAACATAGCAGGCGGTTGATTTCGTATTTCATTAAAGCAAAACAACGTTTTGTTGCTTGCTAACATTACATTTATTCATTTTCAAACGTGTTGACCTCTCTTTAAGTTGCTGGTTGCGTTTTTTACCTTTGCAGTCTGGTTTACTCCCAGCAGTTATGGGTTCATCGTCTTCTCGGTCTCGTGTGCCGGATGACGAGATGGAGGTGTTCTACGATCCCGTTTCTGAGGACGATACTTTCCATGACGCTTTGGACGAGACGGATCCTGCGCCAGCAGACCAGAAATCTTCGCGGAACGATGAGGAGGAATCACCATCCTGCAGTAATAGAAGGGACTGCCTCGGTTCCCGCCCTGGGTCTTCTTGCTTTTCGTGGTCTTCGGATTCCTTGGAACTTTCGTCAGATGGCGACCTCTCGGATAACGCAGGTGTATCCATGGACAACTCAGTGCCGTCCTTCACGATCGCTTTGGAAGAGAGCCACAACACTTTTGACTGTTCACTCATATCGGAAAAATCCCAGTCAGTTACAACGGATCAGCAGCATCCGATGAACGCAAGCCTTATGGATCCCATCGAGAATCCTGGTGTGCTGAGACCCGACGCAGATCTCACCGGGGACTCTTCCGCGACTACTTCTAGTTCAGTTGGTATTGTGGCTGCCCAAGACGAGGAAATGGGAACTGACCGTGTTTCGTTGGAACGGTCAAGTGAGCCTCACGTGAACGCAGCGGGATCTTCAACCTATGAAGCCATGCCCCTGGCCATCACGGTTGCTCCTGTTGATCCCCAGCCGTTGGATCAAGCGGGTACTCCAACAGTCCCTGGTCATGCTGGATGCCAGAGTGGTTCGCAACGGACGATGGAGCGTAGCAGACGCCGCACCAAGCTGACTGGTAGTGGACCGGTTGGAACGGCCGCTAAACCGTCTGCAAAACGTTCCCAACCATCGCGGCAGCGGCCCGCACATCCGGCAGCCATTTACACTCGAGCGGCCAATTTCAAAAAAGGCAAGTGTCATGCGACGTGTTACATGCTTCATGACTTCCTCAGACATTTTTCGGTAATTGCGGTAGTTCTTCCTACGTTCCGATGTGGTTCCATCATTAACGCGACATTTTACTGCGCAACTGCAGCTGCACTAAGTTTGACTGTACGTTAGGCAGTATCTGTAGATGGTTTTCCAGATTCTTACAGCTGGGTTAAAGTGGCCCGTTAAACCGAAGTTGCTTTTCTAGGGCAAATCGTCTATTTCCCAGCGAAGCCGATAGCCAACCAGCCGCCATACTGGTATTCAGGACGAATTGTCCAACGAGCACTGGACACCGACGACCGGCCGTGCTATCGCGTTCAGTACGCTTACGGAGACGTGTCCCAAGAAAAACCTCGGTACGAACAATTTGTCGCTTCGGATTCTTTAACATTACGGTTAACCTGTATTGCATATACGTTCAGTTATAATATATATATTAACGTGTTGTAATTCCGACTTCAGTAAGAATTCCGCGGTGTGCCTGTCATCCTTCGTTTTTGTTCCACAGGCGCTTTTACAAGAAAATGGAGTGGATCTCGGCTAGCGTCTTGAAGGCGGATGGTGCTGGTGCACGGCAGACGGTGCAGCACGTCAATCAGCGTTATCACGCTGTTATGAGCCGGAAGAATGACAATGGCCGTCGCACCGGTGTGCAACCGAAGCGAGTGTAGTGTGTCCATGCGGAGACTGTTGGGATGTTCTTTCGTAACTCGTTGTATTCTAATGTAGACATTGCCATTGCGCTTGTTTGTTTTTCTGTTTTGGAACATTTCCGTTTATTTTTGCGTCAATCCCGCATAGATCTTATTATCTTTATGTATGCTTATGTGCTACCGTACATAGTAATCTTTTACAATTTCACCAAACTAGAACTTACGTCGTTACCGTTTTTGAAAGCACCGATGTGAGTGATATTTTTTCATACAGCGCGAAAACTCGTATTTCCGTTTGTGTATTAGTATTAGACGACATAATGTTGATGTGCCTATTGCTTGCTGTTGATATGCGATTTCACTGTTACTACGATTAAATTAGCAAAAAATTAAAGGAAGCTCAAGTCAAGGAAGCTAAAATGATCTCGCGTTTCTTAAATAAAGAACGGCATATATGAAGTACAAATGAAGTGAATTTAGGTAAGCGTAAATGACCCGTTGTATCATTTAAAGTCTGAATCGGCAGATTTTTTGTCGGCCGCATTTCCTTCCGTCACCGCTACTAGATCGTGGTGCTTTACGCATAACCAAATAATTCCAGTAATTCTCATTAGAAGGGTAAAGCATCTTAGCGGCGCTTACAAAGTTAGTGAATCACGTTGTCTTCCACCCGATTCCCGATAGCGTCCGCACAGTGCTTTTTGGCGCCACGCTGATACCTTTCAACAAGAAAGCGGGCGGGATACGGCCCATAGCGGTTGGCTGCACTATAAGACGCCTGTGCGGGAAATTGATTAGCAGACGTGTACAGTCGGAACTGGGCGGCATTTTTCGCCCAGTGCAGTTGGGCTACGGAACACCGGGAGGAGCAGAAGCAGCTGTTCATGCCACCCGGAAATTTCTTCGAGCCCACCCAGCCAGCCCTACCGTGGTGTTAAAGCTTGATTTTCGTAACGCGTTCAACACCATTCGTCGCGATGTCGTTCTGAAAGAAGCTGCTGATAAATTACCGCAATACTTCCATTTCATTTCTCAGTGTTATAGGAATTCCTCTACCTTGTTCTGCGGCGAAACTACGATGCCATCCGCTCATGGGGTGCAGCAAGGTGACCCTCTTGGCCCGTTGCTGTTTTGCCTTGCCTCGTACAAGCTGGCAAAAAGTCTCCAGTCCGATCTCAATGCCTGGTTCCTCGATGACGGGACAGCAGGAGGAGACCCAGAAGTGGTCCTGGAAGACTTTATCAGAGTTTGCAATGATGCGCCAAAAATTGGTCTGGAACTCAACTTCGCAAAGTGTGAGCTGTATGTCTATGGCGGGTCTGAAGCGGAACAGCAAGACATATACGACCGGTTTGCCGCAGTCGCACCTGGTATTCAAAGGGTTACCCCAGAGACGTTGGAACTGCTCGGTGCTCCCCTTACGGACTGGTCCATTGGCCATTGCTTGGACGGTAAAATTGGCCAAATCAAAAAATTGACAGACTCATTAAGCGTCTTGCCGGCGCAGCAAGCGTTATTTCTCCTAAGAAACAGTCTGTCATTACCGCGACTTATGTACACTCTTCGAGCGGCCGCTTGCTACAAATATCCGGAGAAGCTCAGGGAGTTCGACGAAGTGATTAGGTCAAAAGCTGAAGAGATTACGAATGTTGTGATGGACAACTGCACATACGTGCAAGCTTCTCTTCCGGTGAATTCAGGCGGTTTGGGTTTGCCTAAAGCCGAAGAAATCGCTACGCCGGCTTATCTTTCCTCGCTTTATTCTACCGACGAGCTAGTACGTACTATTGTGCCCGAAGATTGCCCCGACGAGAGGTCTGACGTTGAGCTGTGCTGGGAAGAACGTACAGGAAAGAGTGCACCTGCGATGGAAGACCGGAGCAACCAACGCTTGTGGTCGGATATGCTGACTGTCGGGAAACTGGAAGCCTTAAAAGAGAGCGCCGACGTTATTGCCTCTGCTCGTCTGTTGGCTGCCTCTGCTAAGGATGCCAGTGCCTGGTTGTTTGCATTGCCGGTCGCCAGCCTTGGCACACTGCTGGACGATGCCGGTCTGCGGTTAGCTGTTGCTTTGCGGTTGGGGGCACCTATTTGTAAGGAGCATAAATGCCGGTGTGGTGAAATGGTTGATACAGGCGGCTTACATGGATTGTCGTGCGTCAAAAGCCAGGGAAGGTTCAGGAGGCATGCGAGTTTGAATAGCGTGATTCAGCGTAGCCTGGGATCAGCAAAGGTGCCGACAATCTTGGAGCCTCCCGGACTGTGCAGACTGGACGGGAAGCGGCCAGACGGCTTATCGCTCTTCCCATGGAGAAATGGTCTCCCTCTGATATGGGATGTGACAGTTTGTGATACATTCGCTACTTCGTATATAGCTGGCTGTTCAGAAGCAGCGGGATCGGCTGCTGAAGACGCGGAAGTGCGGAAGCGAAACCTCTATTCCGAACTCACTGATCGGCATTTTTTCCAGCCAGTGGCACTCGAAACTATGGGAAGTTGCGGCGAAAATACACATCAGTTCATCAGTGAAATCGGCCGGCGTATCAAAGAACAAACAGGAGAAGCGCGCGCTGTTCAGTATTTGTGGCAACGTATAAGTGTGGAAATTCAGCGCGGAAACGCGGCTTCTGTCCTGGGGACGGTCGGGTGTTCTCGAGAGTTAGAAGAGTTATTTTTCTTGTTCTGATTATTGGGTATTTAAAGTTTGAATGTAAATGGCATTGGCTTGTACAAGTTGAAATAAAAATACACTCTTGGCGCAGTTCGTATCCGCATTCTTACGGAAAATTAAGCAATCATTTGTTGTCGGCCTTGGCTCAGCGCAGTTGCTGCGTTTCGTATTACTACGCAAGCCCTGGCCTCTGCACGACAACCGGCCTTTTTATTTTCTCGTCATATTATTCAGCCAACTTCGAATGTCTGTTCGGCGTTTTGCCTTGTGAGTTCAGCAACCCCGGCAAAGTTAATATCAGCATTAAATACCGGACATTCAAGCGCTTCTTGCTCCGCGGGAGAAAATGTGCAGGATTCTCAATCAGCGCCGCTTGGAGTACTACCTAAATCCGCAATACGACAAACGTCCACTATATTCTACAGGTAAATCTCTGCAGCAAAAACCACAGTTTTTGCCGATGCAGGTATTCGTAAAATAAACGCTGCTTGCTTTTTCTGACGTCGTTTGGGTATATGCTTCCCCGCCCGGCACGGATATCTGGCTAGTTTACGAGGCCAAGGTAAGGTCTATATAATATTACTTCTTTAACCTTAACGTTTTTGCAACCACCAATATCAATATCACCAATAGAGAGCGAAGCTTTTTAATTAAGCTCTTTGACGTTGAATTGATAGGTTAGCAAACTGCTTTCGTTGTCGTCGCGCTATCGTGACGAGCAACTGGAAATGGAAGCTTCCTTGCCGATGTACGAAGTGGAACTACCGTGGTTTCTGTAAGTCTCTATACATACTACTTACATTCAGCTACGCAGTGCTGGTGACGTCATGAAAACAAACTTGAACATTTGACCTTTCCACTGTCAACAGGGAACAACGGTCGGTATGCGACACGTTCTTCGAGAACAATATGTACAATCGGCAGCGGCTGACGGCCGAAGAGATGTTGTGTATCATCGGCGAGAACAATCAGGCAGTACTGTATGTATGCTTTCCTGGCAGCCTGTTCTCCCGTGGTGACTAGTGCCCGATGTCGTGCATCCGTCTGTTTTTTTACAGAAAGGATTTATCCGATGCGGAGCGGCTTTTAGTCCCTCGCAATGGTCTAGTGTTCCTGGGCACTTCGCAGATGGCCGCTCTGCGGGACTATGTCGCTAAGTACAGCGTGACCTTTGCAGAATTTTTCATATTAGCGCACATGTTTACCAGACAACGTGCGCTGATGCTTGTAGAACGGGCGGAATGACGGAATCCGAACATACAATTTGCTGTGACTCGGATCCGGAAAGTGACTACAGCGACCTTGAACAAGAAGAAAACGAGTACAGGTAAGTGTCCAGTATTTTATTTTTTATGCTATCAATGGCGTTTTGCCGCTCAGTATTATTGCTTGTGATCTGCATGTGTGCCGTTCGCCATTTTTATTAACAAAAATTGTGTTAGATAAAAACAGAGAAAAAGTTGCAAGAATTTGAGTTTTGCAGGGCAGCCGTCAGCCGAAAGCTCGATCTCGTCGCAAGGTCGCGCGCAACTTCTCTTCCAGTAGCAAGCTCGTTGGTGGCCGCATCGAAAAGCAAAAAACGGTAGACGACATCGAATGGTTTCCTTATTCCGTAGTTTTGAAAGGCGAATAAAACGATTTCCGTCATTCTGTAGACCGGATGCGCCACGGTCCATGTTCATCTGTCCCTACTGTCGAAAGTATGCGAGACAATCCTACAATGTCGTTCTGCGTCATATGCGCGGAGAGTTCCGGTCCAAAAGGGTGCAGTGTCCTTGTCGGCCGGCGATAGCCAATGAGCACGATGTCCCTGAAAAACTGTAGCACCGTTTAAGAATTGTCCCAAATGAAAAGATTCACCAGTTGCAACTACCTCCACCCTCCAGTTCTTCAGAGAACCATGCGACGACAAGTCTTCTTATGTTTATGTACGCCTGGAAGGGTTGCAACTAGAGTATTTTTTGTGGACAATGCTTTCTTGATACAAAGAATGAGCGGCATAGTATTATACTGTGTCGCATTTTGCATTGGCGCGGAAGTTTTAATGAATAATTAAACTGATAGTTGTAATACCACCGTTTTGATCTAAACGTTTTACGATAGCTTTCTCAATAATTATTTTATCATTGTTATCAGTGAACGACGAAGCGCTGTCTGGTGTTAACCGAATTAAAGCGTGAAGAGTGGTGCTGGTTCCTGTCATATAAGTACTGTCTCAATTTTGCGCAGCGGCGCTTTGGCTACAACCAACGAGTCCTTTGGGACTGATTTTTAATAAAAAAGATGGCTTAGGCCGCTGAGCGGGCTTCCAGGGAGAAGATTGGGAAATACAAGTCTCTCATTGATCGCTGTCACTTTGTCGCCTTTGCATGCGAGACTTTTGGCACTTGGTGTGAGACTGGCATTGTCACGTTAAAGGAGATTGGAAAGAAATTGTATTTGAGAACGGGCGAGAGTCGCTCGACTTGTTCTTTGTTTCAACGTATAAGTTTGGAGATTAAGCGTGGTAATGCTATGAGTGTATTGTGCACAGTCCCTTCTCATGTAAATTGGGACACATTCTTCATTTGATTATAATTGTTGAGCGAAGCTCGCTTTGTGCATATTGAGAAATAAAATCTTATAAAAAGATTTCTTTAATTTCGTCAAACATATTTTCCTGTGATGGACTGTCGTAGAAAATCTTACGTTTGACGCTTGAACTCGCCTATACACTACAACATTCCTCTCACGTACACATAACACACTCAACAAAAATTATCACATCAAGAAAATGTTGAATGAGATTTGCCGAATGAAAGTTGTTCGAAAGGTGCGGATTATAATTTCAACACAATAATTATACTAATAAGAGAATCGCAACGCAGCTGCAACAACCTGAAATCCCGGACGTCGACTTGCTAATACACTGTAAGTATTCATATCCAAAGCCGGAGACAATGTCGGTTTATTGTTCACCCGCACTGCGCCAACCATATATCCTGGTTCCCATGGCATCTGCAGTTTTAATTTTACGTTGCTTTTTGCTGACTCTGAATGCTGCTGTTTAACAACCGTCTGCAGTCCGTTTCTTGATCATCGTTATCGCAATCAACAGGCTTTAAAAATCTGTGCGTCGTACTGCAGCGCGTTAAAGCGTCTGAAATTTCAGGTGTTCCTCGGGTTTCCCCGTTAAACTAGAGCAGAAATGTGCAGGATTATCAATCGGCGCCGTTTGGAATATTACACGAGCGTTCGGTATGATAAACGTCCTTTGTTCGCCGCAGGTAAACCAGTTCGCCGTGCCAACGAAAACCCGCAATTTTTGTACTATTATTTTAATAATGGTTATACGTATGTCATTTGTTGTTTTGCAATGTAATATTTAATATTGATGGGTTTGTGTGAAAAGAATGCTGCTTGTCATCAGGCGACGTTGTCTGGGTGTATGCATCGCCGCCCGCCACGGACGCCTGGTTGGTCTACGAAGCCAAGGTACGGTCTGTAATCTACCTTCTTTGTCTGATTTGTTTTTCCAAAACGTTGGCGCCGGAGAGGATAGTGTTTTGTTAACGTTCTTGATGCTGGTGATTATTAGGTTATTAAACTACGTTCCTTGTCATCCCGCTATCGTGACGAACAACTGAAACTGGAAGCTTACTTGCCGGCGTACGAAGTGCAACTACCGTGGTCGCTGTAAGGTCACAGTACTATTTTCTGTTTACTTGAAGTAAATAGCGTATAAGTGACCACCCCTTCCGTCACTTCTTGCGTTAACAGTGCTGCTGCGAGGAGGAAGAAAAGCGGCGACCATTATCATAGCACAAAATTTGATTACATAATACGAAATGGCACTGCGATGCCGTTGTCGCAGGACGTGAATTATTATAGTGTCTACCGATTTGCCGGCTCAGTTTATTACAGTACCGAAGTACATGTATGATTAACCACGGAGAAATGCCATTGTGTACTGGACGTTACGTCATCAGAACAGTTTGTCGGTTGACAGGGAACCATCGCTGCATGCTACCGACACGTTCTTCGAAAACCACATGTACAATCGGCAGCGGCTGACGGCCGAAGAGATGCTATGCATTATCGGCGAGAACAATCAGACTGTACTGTACGTGTCTCTTATACCCTGTCGCCCTTGTTAATTGCCTTGGTGTGACTCTCAGTTTCAGTATACACTCGTGTTGGTTGCAGACGCGATTTGTCCGATACAAAACGGCGGAAAGTCCCTCGCGACGGCTTAGTGTTCCTAGGCACGTCACAGATGGCCGCACTGCGCGACTATGTCGCTAAGTATGGCGTGACCTTTACAGAGGTTCTCACGGAGACGTGGCAGACAGCGTTTGCTTGTGCTTGTAGATCGGGCGGAATGACCGAATCCGAGCATACGGGCTGCTGCGACTCGGATCCGGAATTCGACTGCGACATCGAAGAAGAAGAAGAGTAAGTGTCACGTCAAATCTTTCTTTCGAATTACAATAGTGTTGTCAATTTTGTTCCTAAAATGAGCATATTAGTACAGTACATATCAGTACCGTTTATCTAACTTGTGACCTTTTGTTATGAATCTTTTGATTTAAATCTTTAGTAGCAAACGCTAATAACTATTAGTTTCCTTAAATGGTTGGTTTCATAGTCAGTACATGTTATGTTCCGCATTTCTTCAGAGAAAACCGTACCTTGGATCTCGATCGTATAAGGTCACGCGCCAAATCGCTTCCCACACCGAAATCGTTGGCGGCGGCATCCACTAACAAAAAGCGGTGCGTGCTTCGAATTTTTGCCTGATCAATAAGTTTTGCGAATGGCAAATTAAAAACACTTCTCTCGTTTTGTAGACCCAAGGACCGGCCAACCATGTACATCTGTCCGTACTGTCGGAATTACACGAAACAGTGCTACGGCGTTGTGCTGCGCCATATGCGTGGACAGTATTCTGCGAAGTGTCCCGCTCAGCCGGCGCGGGCCAATAAGAAGGACGTCCCGGAGAAGCTGTAGGGCCTCCCCTATAGAGGGACGGTCACTGAAGGCATTCTAAAATGTCCTCGTCGTTCGACGGATGAGTTTAGCTGCAATTATACCAACTTCCGGGTTTGCCGCATGGCCTTTCTTCGTGTTCCTTGTTCTCGTGGAACCATGATGTGTGCTTCTTGAATTGGAATTCCGTGTCATAGTGCGATTTCAGTACCATTTCTTTATTGTCATCTCTCTACAGTAGCCAACTCCTTTCCATACCCAAGCAAAACGAAGGTCGGAATTTTTTGGGAAACACCAATGGGTTTAGGTGACCCGCGGAAACGGGAAATACAAATTAAAAGCAATGTTGTATTTTAACTTGAAAAGTTATTTAAGCTTCTGCGACAGTTTTTTTGCTGAAAGAACTTCGAGCACCACGGGCCGAAACGAAAAAAAAAGTATGAAAAGAGAGATTCACTTGCTATGCTACATTGGCTAATATTTAATGTACCCATCCCTAATTAGACCACCCATATGTTGCCACTGCACTACGCCCAGATATGATACATACCCAACTACATGTGCAGAAAATTTGATACCAATCGACTAACACAGAGTGATAGCTTTCGTGTCAAAATCTGTTTTACCGTATTATTGCATATTGACTATTGAATAATTATATTTAATATTTACTTTTGAACCTTTAAATCTATTTAACCTGTTCACCGTATTGACTGTTTAAGTAATTAGATTTCATAATGACTGCTTAATCGATTATTATACTCGTACTTAATAAAAAAGTTATTTGTAACAAATCGGCCAACAATAGCAAATTACAGCATCAAATTCTTATTTCATAACGTAAATATCGGTATATCATATCACCTTATCGAAAATTCTCATATTTGTTTTAGAGAATCCCATCTTCTTTTTATTCCATTTCTTTAAATCCATTAATTATACTATCTAAAAAAGAAACTGCCGAAAACCCCAGCAACTGATTATACAATAATTAATTATAGCACCTGTCCAAAAGGAACGCCTCACTGGCAAAAAGGGGGAAAAACTCTAAGCGCGCCTAATCTCACAGCAAAATGAGAACACACCCAGAAAAACTAGAGAAAAATCACAAACTATTATTTCATTTCCAGGACGTTGGGGCTGCAGGGGGCAACAAACGAAGCCATCTTCCAATGCCATCACTCAAACAGGGACGGACTGGAGATTAAAAATTAAAAGCACACCAAAAAGAAAACGTCAAAAACAGCGAACCACATGTACAATCGACAGCGGCTAACGGCCGAAGAGATGCTGTGCATTACGGCGAGAACAATCAGATTTTACTGTAAGTTTTCCCAGCTCTCTGTTGTCTTGGTGTATTGTGTTGTGAGTAGTCGTACACCCCTGCTTTTGTTGTAGAAGCGATTTGTCGCGCGCGCGCAGACAAGTTAAAACATCAGCATTAATTTCCTGGGTATCCAAGCTCTTCTTGCCCCGCGGTCACTACAATCGATGCAAGAGAAAATGTGCAGGATTCTCAATCAGCGCCGCTTGGAGTATTACCTGAGTTCCCAGTACGACAAACGTCCACTATATTCTACAAGTAAATCTCCGCAGCGAAAACCCGCAATATTTGCCGGTTCAGGTATTCGTAACAAAAATGCTGCTTTCCATCAGGTGATGCCGTTTGGGTTTATGCTTCACCGCCCGACACGGATGTCTGGCTAGTCTACCAGGCCACGGTGGAGTCTATATTACCGCATAATTCTTAGGGTTCGGAAAGTGTCCTCGCTGGTACTAAAATATTTAATCAAGCTCGTTGGTAATTTGATAGGTGAGCAAACTGTATTCCTTGTCGTCGCGATATCGTGATGAGCAACTAAGAAATGGAAGCTTGCATGCTGATCTACGAAGTGGAACTACCGTGATTTCTGTAAGCTCTCTACATTGATATTACTTACATTCAGATACGCAGTTACTTCGACGTCCTGAAAATCATTTGCCCTTTCGAATGTCAACAGGGAACAACGGTCGGTGCGCGACATGTTCTTCGAGAACGAAATGTACAATCGGCAGCGGCTAACGGCCGAAGAGATGCTGTGCATTATCGGCGAGAACAATCAGGCAGTACTGTACGTATGCTTCCCCGACAGCGGGTTCTCCTGGTGTGGTGCCCGATGTTATGCATCCCTGTGTTTCTTGTAGAAGGGATTTATCCAATGAGGAACGGCGATTAGTCCCTCGCGACGGCTTGGTGTTCCTGGGCACTTCGCAGATGGCCGCACTGCGGGACTATGTCGCTAAGTGCGGCGTGACCTTTACAGTTCTCACGGTAGCGCGAAGAGGTAGCAGACAATGTTTGCTTGTGCTTGTAGAACGGGCGGAATGACGGAATCCGAGCATACTATTTGCTGCGACTCGGATCCGGAAATCGACTATGTACAGCGACCTGGAACAAAAGAGAACGAGTAAGTGCCCAATATTTTATTACTGATGGTATCAATCCCGTTTTGCCACTCAGTATTATTACTGGTAATAATGTGAATGTAGACTGTTCGCCAGTTTTATAATAAAATTCTGTTAATTGAAATAGAAAAAAGTTACAAGAATCTGAATTTTTCAGGGCAGACGTTAGCTAAAAGCTCGATTTCGTCGTACGGTCAAGCGCAGCATCGCTTCCAGTACCGAGGGCGTTAAGGACAGCATCGAATGGCAAAAAACGGTACATAAGTTTGTTTTCCCATTTCTTATGTGTTGTGAAAGACGAATAACACACGTTGCGCGCACTCTGTAGACCGGCTGCGCCACCGTCCATGTTCATCTGTCCCTACTGTCGGAAGTATGTGAGACAATTATACAGGTCGTGCTCCGTAATATGCGCGGAGATTTCCGGTCCAAAAGGGCACAATGTCCTTGTCGGCCGACGACAACCAATGAGCAGGATGTCCCCGTGAAACCGTAGCCCAGTTCTATGAACTGTGACAATTGTCCTAAATGAATGATCAGCTGCACCTATTCCCACCATCCAACTCTTCAAATTACCACGCGACAATTCTTCCTATGATTATATAGACCTCAAAGGAGCATAACTAGAGTGTTTATTGTAGATAACGCCACTGTTTTTCTAAATACAAAGATTGAGCGGCCTTGGTACCGTATTTGTATTGTGTCGTACGACGTTTTGCATGGTCGCGGAAGTTTTACTGAACAACTAAAGTGATAGTTTTAATACCACCGTTTTGAACTATGAGTAGACATTTTACGATAGCTTTTTCGCGATGATATTTATTTTGTCCTTCTTATCAGTGAGCGGTGTCTGGTATGAGTATTTACCGAACTAAAGCGTGATGAGTGGTGCTGCTTTTCTGTCGTCCGTAATGTACTGCCTCAATTTCGCGCAGCGGCGCTTTGACTACGGCCAGCGAGTACTTTAAGGGCTGATTTTTGAAAAAAAAATTCTTAAAATACGGGAAAATTCGTAAATCGTATTATTCTGTGAAGGTTATTCGTAGAAATTCTTACATGTACAGTAACGCCGGCGCCAGTGAACTCGCCCATACACTACAACATTCTTCTTACATTTGGTCACCGAAGTCGAGAAGATGATATAACAGGAAACAGGCGAGATACAGGCGACAGAGTATCTGCGCCAACAGATCAGCATTGAAATTCAACGCGGGAACGCGGCCTCTGTCATGGAAATAGCACCAGCATCGGCTAGCTTAGACGAAATGCTCTGTGTGATTAGGCCGCTAATTTTCGTAGTCGGATGAGGCTGTGTATTCAGTACAAATCTTTCACTTTCATATTAAACTTGTGACTGTATCGTATCGCCAATCTGAAATAAAGAATATAAATAAAGAATAATAATAAGAGTATGAAAAAAAGAATGGAACAAAGAATATCTGAAATAAAGATCGATGTATTGAACTGTACCTATGGTACGGTACCTAATCGTAATTCACAAACACAAGATTGCCATGGCAAACTTCTGCACACAATTATCAGATCAAGAAAATGTTGAATTGAGGTTTACCGAACGGAAGTCGTTCGAAGTGAATTTTACAAAGGTGCGGATTATAATTTCAAACGCACCATATGCGTACTAATAAGAGAATCGCAGCGCAGCTGCAGCAACCTGAGAATCGGACATTGGCTGGACATTACACTGTAAGTATTCGTATGCCAAAGCTGGAAACAATTCCGGTTTATTGTGATTTTATTTCTCAATATATACAACGCGAGCTCAATATATACAAAGTGGTGAAACACGCTCGCATGAGTTTCTACGACAGCGGTTGTCGATAGAAATACAACGGGGTAATGCAGCGTCAGTGCTGGGTACTATGGAAGGAGCTGATAAACTGAACGAGATTTGTTTTTGAACAAGATTTTTTTAGTTTTGCGTGTTTTCTCAGAAAACACGCAAAACTATAACAAAAAAATTATATTGTATGCACAAATTATCGGTTGTGATCAAATAAAAATTCCTTTCAAGCCAGCTTCGCTCAACAGAATATAGATATAAATCAAATGAAGAATGCCGGTTTATTGTTCACCCCACATTGCGCCAACCCTATATTCTCGTTCCCATGGCATCTGCAGTTTTGTCTCTGCCGTGCCTTGCTGGTTTCGGTTGTCTGTACCGGCGTATTGCCTGCGTTGTTTTTTTTTGCTTTGACCCGAAATGCTGTTTAACAACCAGCTTGCTCATTATCGTAATCGTTTCCCATTATCGTTTCTTGCTCATTATCGGCTTTAAACATTCTGTGCGTCGTACCGAGCAACGCGCTTAACGCGTCTGGAATTTCACGCGTTCCTCTGGTTTTCCAGTTACAGTACACAGTGTACACTGGAGCAAAAATGTGCAGGATTATCAATCGGCGCCGTTTGGAATATTATACGAGCGTTCGGTATGACAAACGTCCACTGTTCGCAGCAGGTAAACCAATCAGCCATGCCAACGCAAACTCAGAGATTTCGCAATGTACTATTTAATATTTATTACATATTTATTATTTTTGCAATCACGTAGTATTCATTATTTCTGAATTTGTGTTACTTAAAAGAATGCTGCTTGTCATCAGGCGATGCTGTCTGGGTGTATGCATCCCCGCCCGGCACGGACGCCTGGCTGGTCTACGAAGCCAAGGTACGGTCTGCATTCCTCTTTTGTTTTTCCAAAGTGTTGTCACTTGTCACTGGAGAGGACAGTGTTTCTTAACATTCTTGATGCTGGTGGTTATTAGGTTATCAAACTACGTTCCTTGTCATCCCGCTATCGTGACGAACAACTGAAACTGGAAGCTTATTTGCCGGTGTACGAAGTGGAACTACCGTGGTTACTGTAAGCTCATAATACTAACGATGTAACATGTAACATCTATGTTTACTTGAGGTGAATAGTGTAAGGTAACCTCTTCCGTCACCTTTTGTGTTACGTCATCGAAATAATTTGTCGGTTGACAGGGAATCGTCGCAGCACGCCACCGACACGTTCTTCGAGAACCACCTGTACAATCGGGAGCGACTAACGGCCGAAGAGATGTTGTGCATTATCGGCGAGAACAATCAGACTGTACTGTATGTGCCTCTCATTTATACTGTCGCACTAGTTAACTGCTTTTGATGTAACTGGCAGCCTCAGTACACACTCGTCTTCACGTCTTGGTTGCAGAAGCGATTTGTCCGATGCGAAACGGCAGAAAGTTCCTCGCGACGGCTTGGTGTTCTTGGGCACTTCGCAGATGGCCGCACTGCGGGACTATGTCGCTAAGTATGGCGTGACCTTGGCAGAATTTCTCAAGGCAGCGCGCAGGTATAAAAAAGTGTGCTGTTGCGTGTAGAACGGGCGGATTGACGGAATCCCAGCACACCACGTGCTGCGACTCGGATCCGGAATTCGACTGCGACATTGAAGAAGAGTAAGTGTCCGTCACGGCGAACCTTCGACCAGTCTCATTTCCTGGCTGTATACAATGTTATTAAATACTTTTTAAAAATGTAAATATCAACTGTTATCTCCCCATTGACCTTCTGTTTTTGATGTTATCATTTAAAAATTTTCAGTATCGAGCGTCAATAGTTAGTTGGTTTCCCTAATGGTTATTTCAGTAGTCATTACATTTTATAGTTCGTATTTTTCAGCGTAAATGGTAGCTTGAACCAGGATCGCCCGAGGTCACGCGCCAAATCGCTTCCCATACCGAATGCGTTGGCTGCCGCATCCTTGGATAAAACGCGGTACATGGAATTTTTGCATGGTCAGTAAGTTATGCGGATGACGAATTAAGAACCCTTTTTCCGTTCTGTAGACCGGATAATCCGCCCATGTACATCTGTCCGTACTGTCGGAAGTACACGAAACAACGCTACGGCGTTGTGCTGCGACACATGCGTGGACAGTATTCTGCAAAGTGTCCCGCTCGTCCGGCGCGGGCCAATAAGAAGGACGTCCCGGAGAAGCTGTAGGGCGTCACCTATAGAGGGACGGCCACAGAAGGCATTCTAAAATATTCTCGTCGAAGGATGAGTTAGCTGCAATTATACCAACTTCCGGGTTTGCCGCGTGGCCTTTCTTCCTGTTCTTTTTCTTGTGAAACCATGACGTATGCTTCTTGAGGTGGACTTCCGTATCATAGTGCGATTTCAATTACGAATATTCATACTTAGTCTACAGATACTAGAGTAGAGTAGGGTACTATTTCTTTGTTGTTTATGTTGAAATAACTAGGCAGGTATTCTTGTTGGACCTTTACATTTTACTATTATTTTCAGTACACCTGTCACGTATCCAAGAACGAAATCTTTTTTTAGTTTGACCGCGCTTTTGTTGTGACCAGGATTTGTTAGTTCTCTACCTATGCGAGCTTAAGGTCGCAAACACCAAGGGATTCAGGTAACACATGAAAACGGGAAAATAAAAATAAAGTACTGTAATGCAAGAAAATTAAGCTTCTGTGGCAATTTTTTTGCTGTAAGAACTGTGAACACACGGGACTGACATGAGAAAAATGTAAGACAAGATGAATCGATTTTTATACTAAAAAAACTAATTTCGATTAAATTCGTGATAAATGCAACTCGGTGCACTTTATCAGAATACAGTGCCTTACCTGCTCGGCCCGCATCTTGCCATCGCACTACACCCAAACATGATGCACAGCCAACTGCACGTGCAGAAAATTGGATAACAATCGGCTAACTTGAGTGACAGCTTTCCTGTTTTAATCTGTTTTACCGTATTGATGCATATTGACTATTTAACAATTATGTTTAATATTCACTGTTTAAATCTATTTTACCGTAATAATCCATATATCGATTATTTATTAAAAAAGTCATTTTTAAAAAATCGGCCAATGTTCTATGTTGTTCTATGCTTCTCTTTTTTTTTTTACTTATGGCGTGTCTGCTACCCCGAATTGGGTTTGAACCCAGATTGTGTGCGGACGTTAATGAATTAAAACAAAGCAGTAGCAAATTACAGTATCGAATTCTTATTTCAAAACCTATGTATCGGTATATCATATTACCTTATCGAAAATTCTCATAGTTCTTTCAGAGAATTTGTTTTTTCTATTTTTTTGTTTTTGTGTCAATATTCAGTTTTTATCATATTTTATCCCATTTTATTTTTATTCCATTTCTTTAAATCCATTAATTATACCATCTAAAAAAGAAACTGCCGAAAAAAGCCAGCAAATGATTATACAATAATTAATTATAGCACCTGTCCAAAAGGAACGCCTCACTGGCAAAAAGGGGGAAAAACTCTAAGCGCGCCTAATCTCACAGCAAAATGAGAACACACCCAGAAAAACTAGAGAAAAATCACAAACTATTATTTCATTTCCAGGACGTTGGGGCTGCAGGGGGGCAACAAACGGAGCCATCTTCCAAAATCCGTCGCTCAAACACGGGACGGACCGGAGATTAAAAATTAAAAGAACACCAAAATGAAAACGTCAAAAACAGCGAACTTCGCACAATCCGCAACGGGACACCGCCAAACGGTTTCCACGAATTTTTCTTCAATTCCCTTGTACGCGCTTCTCGTACACTTTCAACAAACGCACCTGCAAACAATGTCACTGTTACTACACCCTAGGATCGATAAACAATGAAATAAAATTCAAAAAAAATTAATAAATCAAAAATAAATTTACCACAACAATACAATCAATTAATCTGCGTAAAAAAACCCCGAAAATTATTCAAGGAAAAGCATCAGAACTGAAAACCTGTAAGAGGTGAAGACACTATACTACACTTACATAATATTATATCACCCCGTTAGGAAAAACAAAATCGGAATCAACAAGGCAAAAATAACAAGACACCCGTATTTCTGAAGACCAGAAAGATATCCGAAAATCACAGCCAATTTTATCAGTCGGCTTTTTTTTTAACGCACCTTGCTGGGCGACAACGGGCTGATGTAGGGCTCCATCTGCTCGTCGCCCACCTTCATGCGAGCGTAGACGATGGCGTACACGCATTCCTTCCGCATCGCCGTATCGTCGCTCCCGGCGAATGCCTACCAAGCCAAACAAATCAATTATCTGTACAACCGGATTTCAATACAAATAATGTCACCATCCAGCCATGCAGGTACTGTATGCAATCGAAGCAAATTGAAAATAAAATATTTCTCGACAAGATCGAATAAATAGTATTCAACTTCGACCAAAAGATATTTAGAAAAATATTTAGATATTCCTTTTCACCCATAACTGTACAAACTACGCAAGCTTATGGCTAGCGACCGGCATAAGTGACATGGATTCGAATGTTTTTATCCACTGCACTACGATTTCATCGCAGGCACTGGGTAGTGGGTACACATACGATTACTCGAACCGAACATTCTTCTACTGTATGTACTTTGTAACTCCAGAACATTCACCAAAACCACGCGAATTAAAAATCGGCTTAAATAAAACTGAAACCAAAATTTTCGAGATAAAACTGAAAGACTATATTGAGCAAAAAGAAAAAAAAACACTTTTTTGGTTTTCGCGGGCTTACGCTGACAAGTTTGGGCAAGATGGCCGGCAGGGCGCCGACGAGATCCTCCTTGGCGGTGGCCGACTGGCACAGCGTGGCGAAGAAGCGGACGGCGGCCGCGGCGTCGCCCTCGGCCTGCGCGACGATGGGCGCCAGGATGCTGACGGTGGTGGCCGGCGGGAAGCAGCGGACGGCCAACTGCACGCACTCTTCCGCCGCCTTCATCACCTACAGAAATCCAACAACAAAAATCAACCATCCGGTAGGAAAAAGGCGTTGCGCGGTAAACACTGCAGCTAGTTTACGATAAATTCCATACTAGGAAAGTCAGTTTCCCACCAATAAAATAAAATTAAAGATTAAGCAAACTGTTTCAAACTGATTCTAATTTTTCACAGCGCTTCCCTTCGAATATCCGTATCAGTAAAAAAAGAAAAGATATTAATATAATACAGTACTATTATGTTTAGTTGAACTGACCCTTCAGTTAAAGTTAACTGCATTGCGCAACACAACACAGTCGGCATGCCAAGCACAACCGGCTTCAGGTTTGCATACCACTGTACTACGATTCCTACGATTTCACATACAAAGCTCACATCGCCAAGCTCTCGATCAGCCAACAGCGTGTCGTTAATTAAAAGCAAAACAACCGGTTCTCTGATAAACAATAACTCATTTTACCTTTTTACAACTCATTATTATAAAATTCGAAAGTAACCGTCAACACGGCAAAACTGCATTACCATCAAAAATTTCCCTGTCACGCGTTTATTCCTTGTTAGTAATAATATTAACCGATTTATTTTTGACACTAAATTCAGAAAATTTTCCAGAAATTTTTAAAATTAAGAAAAAATTCCAGTAGCGTTACATTACCAGGCACGTACCGAATTGACGGCGTTCCGCTGAATCTCCAGCAGATTGACGATGGTCAGCTCGGGGAACTGGCGCATCCGGTCGGGTTGGCTGCGCAGCAGAACGGCGAAGCACAGAAGAGTGGCGGCCACAATGCCGGCTTCGTGCTGCACACTGGGATCGTGCAGCAGATCGAACAGCATCGGCAGCACCACCATGAAATGCTCACTCCACAATTTCTCATCCAGACCGCCAAGAACCACGCCCAGATGGTCCAGCAGATCCACGCGTTTTCTGCAACAACAAAAAAATAAACCAGTGCATTTAATACGTTTAAATATAATAGAACCAGTCAGGAAAATTAATCCACAACAGAAAATAAAAATATCAACAAAACTGAATACCGAACAAAAATATTGACTAAATCAAACCACAAAAAAGACACCAAAATATCAGAACCGTTACCGAAAATGTAAAAAACAAAATTAAATTAACTTCTTTAACAATTTTGTAATTTTAACGATCAAACAATGTTCTCTCCCTCTCACGATAAAAGTAATAACTCACACTACCAGTCTTAGCAGAGACGGTAATAATTTCTAAATTAAAGATTTCTCCCGTCATTTAATCACAGCAGTTTAAATAGTAATAAAAAAATCCACGTATTATTAAAAAAGGAATTAATTGTAAACAAACTGCAAATAAAATAGCTACTAAATATTAGTTACTCAATTAACAATCCTTTATGAATATGATCGTTCTTACATTTTGGGACAGCTGGCGAACATCGTGGACCACTCCGTAATGTACTGTCCCGCATCCACCACCCGGCCGTCCTTCAATCCGGCCGAGCCGACATTGCGCGTCGGTGTGGCTTTGACCGCACTTTTCGGCAGCTGCGGGTTGATGTTCTCATCGTTGGGCTTCTGGCTCTTGCCGTTAGAACTGATGGGCATCAGCATTTTGGTGCCGTTGGCCTTCAGCGGCGTCGTCGTCGCCGACACACCTGGTTTCCGCTTCTCCACGTCCGCCAACACACCTACATCAAAATGGGACATCAACCACAAAGAAACAGGTCGCCAGAAGAATTCAACAATTTATGAACTGGCAGAACAAAGCAGCAACATAAAACGTGCAGTTTTGAATTACAGATCACGTGACAAGCTAAAATCGAGCAAACAAGCAAACAAACAAAACCAAACCAATACGTATTCCTCAAATGCCCATGATTAAATTATTACGTACGTTTTAACCCTAGAGAAGATACAGATTTTGGTTGTTTTTTTAATGTTTAAATTTTAACTATCAAGTAGTGTACTGACATGCTATGCGGAAGTCGCACTACGACTACCGCACTAGATGACCAAACCTTACTCAATCGACAAAGTGGGAAAATAAGAAAGATAAATGTTTTCTTATGTCGAAGCTCTACAAACTGTTACCTATTCCTACGTGCACGAGAGTTATCTGGAAGATGTAATTATCCAGAGTTAGTAAAAGGGATGTGACTTCCGGTAGGTACACGCTAATGCTTTCGCTACTAGAAGACACGAGAGATCTCAGATTCAGGATGTTGTTATTAAATTGCAATTCGATAGATGTTCCAGTCCAGACTAAATTGCACATCAAAATTCAAGAGAGATAACACCGCCATTAACATGGGATCAATCTGGCGCTAGTGAGTCATAGAAGCTAGCAATTATCAACCAATTAGCGGCAACATAAGCAACACCAATCTCGTACAAAAGTCTACATGTACGACGCTTCCTACCACCACAGCGTCAGTACCGGCGCTTGCAATCATTGTTATTTTGGCAGCTATTGCCCATTAAAGTTTTCAGTTACATACGTACACCAAAAGTCCAGTACAGTATTTTCAAAGCAAAGTATCGAAATCGCAACAACTGAAAAATCCCACTTTTTGGTAATTATGCGGTGTGCGCACTGAATCTTGGACAACAGCTTCAAGTTCCATAAGTACCTTTTTTAATTAGTAACACACATTCTTTCTCGGCGAATGTTAAATATTTGCAGACAATTATAATAATAAATACAAAATATCTGAACGATGAAATCTCAAAAACTAGATAAGGAAGAAAATAAACGATTTTAAAAAATAATATTATTTCAATTTTATTAATAGCTTTTTCCAAGTCATCTCGCGAGAATTTTCCTTTGGTGCAAAAAAGAATTTTTAAATTCTGCTACAACATTTTCTAATTTTCTGTTTAGGACATTAGTAACCTATGCTCGAACAGATGGATAAAGAAGCCCACACACTACAAAATCGCTCTTGCTTCGAAACACTCACCCGACGCGCGTCGTGGATAAATACTGATGAGCTTCATGCCGGCGTCCTGCAGCTGCTCATCCAGCTCACTCATGACCGCCTCCAGCTCGGCGTGATTTAGCTGGTGTAGCAGCACAAGTAACTGTTGCGCCAGGCGGCGCACTTCCGGCGTCTTGCCCTCCAGCGACCAGGAGATGGCGCGCATCACGCCCAGCCGTGTGATGCTGCTGTTGTGCACGTCGCCCGGCTGCACCACCTTCTCCTCTATCAGCGCCACGGCATAGCCCAACACCGCCGCTTTGGTTTTGTTCGTGCAGCTAGGCCCCGTGGCCGGGTCGCTGATGAAGCGCAGCGCGTGCTCCAACTGCTCCGCAGAGGGAAATGTGTGCCTGTAATGGTGTAGTGTATTTCATATAATCCATTTTTTGATTGATTTGTTTCTCGATTTATTTCTGCATTCCAGTTTTTACATCTATTTTTAAATTACTGGATTTTATTTCATTTTTATTACACTCTTATTTTATTGATACTGTACCTAATGTACGACAGTACGAGTATGATAGGTAATTTATCACCACAGCATGTATGTGGGAAAAAACCAGCAATCTGAAAATTAAATTTTATTGTCAAATTTTCGTTCTCATCATAAAATTCTGTGAGCAACGGCATTACAATTTACCGCTATAATCACAACTCAAATTCCTACAGTAAAGGAGTCAAAGAAACTGTGAGTGTATTTAGCTGGATGGACCAAAAATTTCTGAAGAAGGTAACTGATCATAGTGCACGGGCCTCTAACGGACAACGACATCTTCTCTGAATGCCACCACCCAACTTTCAACCGCGATAGCAAAGTAAAATAGCTTCTAAAGTTTTTCTTTATTTTTCCCTAGTTTTTCTTTAGTTTTTCCATTAAGATAATGTACCAATTTATTTTCTTAATCATTATACTGATCCTACAAAAACAATACAAAACCACTTTTAATAAGACTAAATCTGATAATATTTTTTTCCAAAAGTCTGTGTATTCCGAACGAAATTATCCGCCTTTACCGTATAAGATGCAGGAGCTTATCCACTTTGATCCCGGTGCTCTTCGACTGCTCCGTGCCCTGTTTACTCCACAGCCGGCTCAGCAGGGTGAACAGCCAGCCGTTCAAATCGGCATGACATATCCGGACAAAATCATACAACGTATCCAGCATCATCACCACCACATTGCTGGCATAGTCCGTCAACAAGCGGGTGAAACTCAACCGCAACAATTCCATTTCACTGGGCCTATAAAATTACATAAATCCCGTAATTTTCTAATTTCACTGGGAAATATTATTCACAGTTCAAGTAGTTACAGTCCGCTTACAAGAAGGAATATCCATTGTTCATGTATTTCTGCAGATTCAGCAGGCCGTCGCGCTTGGTCAGCCAGTTACTGCTGCCCATTTGCGCTACAATATCCGGAATATTGTCCACAATATTCTGCGAAGAAAAACGATTATTATGTCTTATACGACATCTGAAAATTTCTTCTTGTTCATAAGACAGTGCGAAGACTATTAACGACATTACCGTTTGCCAATATAAGAGAGAAAACTGGTAGAACAACCTCGATGCATAACGAAATCCACAAAAAGGAAATTCAATAATAACCAAATGCACAACAAAAAAATTATAAATCAAAATTTTAAAAGTAGATTAAGTAAAAAATGCCTCACAAACTAATGTGACCCAAACAGAAGAAAAAATCTGGACAAACTGCATCTCAAAAACTCAGTAAAGCAAAACAAAAAAAAACTTAATGCAAAACATTACACTACTAGTAAACCAAACCATACAAGAACATTCAGGAGATGTATGAGTTCATGTGCCACGGTCTAGTATTGCCGTATTGGTACCGGCACAAGCCATCGCACTACATTCCATTCCAGCTAATGAGTATCGTTTCTCTAGGAAATTACCCTTTTCAAAAACAATAAGCCGGCAATTGCTGGGCGCATTTATTTAAAATCATTTCATTAAAACCAGCAGCAAATATTGCCCAGATTACTTACCGAATAAAACCAAAGCAAATGTTTTTCGTAAAAAACGGCCAATGATTTTTAGTAAAAATAACCGATAAAAATTCTCATAAAAATCTAAATACCGTTATCCTTACCGATCCGCCGGCTTCCACAGTATCCCGCCCACCGCCATCCCCGGCGGCGGGAACTCCCCCATTGACCACTCCACTGCGCACCGCCCCCACGGGCGTCGCCTTCTCCCCGCTCTTCTCGGAGGAATACCGGCGGAAACTGCGTCGCAACGCCGTCGTCTTGGGCAGCGCCGAGGCGGTCTGCAGTGGCGGCCCTCCTCCAGCCAGCACCCCCACTTTCTCGCGGGCCCGCCGCACGGCGTCCTGGTCCATGGCGCTGATGGAGCGCAGACCGCCGCCGGGGGGCGGCATGCGGGCGGGCGGGGTGGCGGCGAAGCGCAGCGGCAGCCGAGGCATGGCGAAGGTATCCGTAGTCGTCGATTTGACCATGGGTTTGGCGCGCGGGGCCGTCAGAAACGGTAGATGACGGGCGGGGGTGGAGTTCAGCGAGGATTGGCTGGAATGCAACGGGGCCGGGTCGTCCAGGAGGCGCTGCTTGGCCGGGTCCAGCTCCTGGTAGATCTCGTGGGCGCAGGTGGGAAAGCCAAGGGCCAGGGCAGCGTAAGCACTGGGCATTAGAAAACAATTATTAGAAATTACTAGAACATTAATCTACTCATTCACTAACAATAAAATACTAAAAATAACTATAAATTGCGCCAAGGCAGCCTAAGCAATGCGCAGTAAACAATCATTAGAAAATTAATATACTGATTTATTACAATTAAATTAAACCTGATAAATAACTATAAATGCGCCAAAGCAGCGTAGGCGCCGCGCAAACATTAGAAAACAATTATCAAAAACTGTCAGAAAATTAATAAACCGATTTACTACCTCTAATTACCATTAACAAATAATTACAAAATTATTACAAAATGAATAACTCACTACCCTGAAACTTCTCACATCGAATACACACATCGCATATTTTATGTAATTCAAAAGTGTTTCTGACCTGATAACTTGTCATGATTCCCTCTCTTAATCAATTTCCTGGGACGAAACATTTTACTGTGCGTAACTGATCTTACTAGCGCTTCCGAAGAGATTACGATAAACGAATTCGGCACCAAATCTTTCAATGCTAAGATAATTTTTCAATCGGATAAACTTGTTGAAATTCCCGATATACAAATTACGTCTGTTTTAGATTTTTCAAAATATCAGTGTTTTTATTTTGAAAAAATTCTGCTTTCGCATGCCGTTAAAATTAAACACGAATATCGATCGCATGCTATTTAAGTTCTAAATTATGTTGTTAAAGCTAATGAATGGTTTAAGGATACGCCGCAATACGTCAATGCCAGCATACTACAGTTTATCTCGCTAAACTTTAATAATGCGATTTAATAACAATGATTGATTATCAAATCACTAATTTTTTCCATTATACATATTTAATTTATAATTTACTTAAACACGACATTGTATGTTCCTACTATACAATGTCGTGTTACTTATACTTATACACGACATTGTATATTCCTACGACATACTTTCATTGTATATTTCGCGTAATAACACAAGTGCCAATACGAATAAAAAAGTCCATTTTCTCGTACAAAGTATCATCTAACGGCAAACCACCAACCGGAAACCGCCAGGACAATACTATCGCGATGTGCCACCCCAATTCAGTGAATTCACTAACCAAGTTCTGATCTTATGCGAAACCAGGCAACTTACGATCTGGCCAAGGCGCGAGCATCCGAATCAGCGTCGGATAGTCCCTTTTTAACGGCATCCCGAATGCCGCCCAGATGCCGGTCCAGCGCCGATTTCGGGAAATTCGTCAGGACTATTGTTAAAAATTCACAGCAGGCACTGCAAATTGTAGCAACCGCGTTAATTTCGGAATAGATTTCAGATTTATCAACCAAAACTGCATTTCCTATCGAAAAAATCAGTTAAAAACTTCCAAAAGCCGCTTTAATTCGGAATAAAATTCAGATTTGTTAAGAAAAAATAAAGTTTCTCCTCAAATAAATCGATTAAAAAATTTAAAAGCCACGTTAATTCGGAATAACGTTCAGGTTTATTAAAAAAAATGAATTTTCTCATCACGCAAATAAGTTAAAAAAATTTTAAAAGCCGCGTTAATTCGGAATAAAATTCAGATTTATTAAGAAAAAATAAATCTTGTCATCACGTAAATCAGTCGCTCCACCAACCGGCGGGTTTCCTTGGATTTGGACGCCAAAAATTCCGCAGTAATTATGGGAACGAGTTTTGGCGAAGGGACATTCTACAAACCCAACACCACAGCGATACAACAAGGTTATCCCGAGAAAACCAATTTACTTGTATTTATTGATTTTCTGTGCCGATTTTATGCGCGTATTTTAAACTTTAAAATAACTGCGTCTTTCTAACTTGCGAAATACGATACAAAATTTACAATAATTTCAAATCATTTTAAAGCCAGAAGAGCTAGTTGTAGCCGTAAGAATTATGAAGCCAAGTTAACGCTGATACAATTAAAAATTTAGGTAACTCTCCAAGCTGATTCGTCATTTCGTAAGATAAATGAAATAATTTTCGACTGAATATTAAGTAACATTTAATGCAAATTAAATAAACGGATCGATTTACCCGCACCAAATAAATAAAAATAAAATTCTCTGAAGAGTTACATACCTCGAGAATGAATCGGACTGCCACCAGCCCCGACGTGGCCATCACCTTAGCGGAATTCGGCAGCAACAAGAGAAGAACCGGCAAGGTCATTTCTGCCGTTCGCTCGCACTTCAAACCCAATTGTTCCGACATGAAACTGCAATTACATGAGTGCGTGACACACCTGATCAGCAAAAAAATTTCCCTGCATCTGCACAGTGTGTTACCAGAGACTGCCTAAGCGCAATATAATTTACTTCAACCATAAAAAAGCAAACGTTTTTACCACTGCACTGGACTAAAAATTACAACGAATTCTGGCTAATAATGACAAAACGATAAAATTATGAAACGAAAAATACTTTTAAGTTTCAAATTCTACGCAACGGAAGTACTGTATTTTCACGAGTTTAAGGGACACGAAAATGCCCTAGGTCTGCTCGCAGCCACCTGGGGCCTGCAGCTACGTTCAAACTGGTTCACTGACAATGCTGTTCACAACTGCAGGGAATTTTCAGTTTCGAAAAAACTTCCACTTCGAGTAGTACATATTTTTCCTTCTTTTTTGGATATCCACTACGAAATTCTGAACGCAATAATTCGGAAAAACCAAAAGTAACTCCCTCAACTCGGCTTTTGCACAAGCGCTTTGCGACTTGAAACGGCGGCCTAGCTGCTGATAGGACAGAACCACTGATAGATTTTGTTCGTGCTGATCACCACACAAGATTGGCACAAACTGATTGAAACGGGCTTACCTCGCTCAAATTAAGAACTCATGCACTCCGAAAACCAAAACAAATGATAGAACATAGAGAAAACCTAAACGATTCTGCAGAAACGCAAAGGAACAATGTTGCCCCTAGTTCCCCCCCTGGCCAGGGGTAGCCACTGGCACACAATGCAGCAGTCAGAATCATAATTTTGGGCCAATTAGCAAAGCGAATTTGCCATTATAAATTCTGCTAACATAACTTGTTAGATAATCATGGATATCCAGAAACGAAGAGTACTACGGATTGTGAAACTTCAAACAGTAGCCCGTAATGAGCAATAGCAAATTCAAAAATTAATTTTTAATTTCAGGGCTGAGTGAGCAGAACTGAACGTAGCTGCAGGCCCCGGGTGGCTGCGAGCAGACCTAGGGCATTTTCGTGTCCCTTAAACTCGTGAAAATACAGTACTCAAAACTAACCACATTTAGCTGCATTCCAGCTATCATGCCTTTAATCGCAAAGCGCTAAAATTCGTACCATTGAAACAAAAAAAACTCTCATATTTTCACTATTATTAATAAATTCTTGGAACAATTAAACTCGAGCGATTCACAAACGAAAATTCAAAGAAAAGTATTCTGCTAAAATAACTGGAGAATAAGCAAACACTCAATCTGATGTTCTAATTGTCAGCGCCACCAAAAACAAATTAGCAGCCAACATTAACAGTGGTCAATAACAGTCTAATTTCCACTTACGCAACGGTTATGCAGGCCTCACGAACGAGTTGCGAGCGGAGATCCTTGATGGCCGCTTGAAGAGCCGTGTCAACATAGCGCATGCCCAAACTGAATTCCTTATAGTCAGCAGCTCCGTTATGCAGCAGGCCACGCAGACGTTTCAGCTGAATAATAACGGCCAAATTAAAATACCGCCATCACATCAAAATCCTTTAGAAAAACTAAAATCCGGCCTAAAACGACCAAGTAACTCTCCCGACTTTATACAACATCGTCAAATATGCGAAAGCCAGCGACAGTTCCAAATTAAATTTTCAACGGCAAGTCAAACAGCGAGAAGACTTTATATTAACATTAACTGAGCTTATTTGTACTAAAAAAATCGATACAAGTATAAGAGTGTGAACAAACGTTTTTAATTAACAGCAGAATCAGTATCATACAGCACATCAATGTCACCAACAGTGCACACGGACGTTGCCCATCTACTACGATTGCTTACATTCCACTATTTTTAATCGGTAACGGTCAGTTCGCGCTCTGATACGCGTGCTGCTTACGTCTTACACGTTAATTAAAAATTAAAATTATAAATACAAATTTAATTTCAGTTAAACTTAGTTGCATTCTTATCAAACAAAACATGCAGCAGATAAGCCACTCAATCACACTGCCAATGATGACAGCAAAAGAGAAACAAACCATAAATTAAGGAAACTGGTAGCTTCACATCATCACAATACTTGTCCAGTATTTGTACAAATCGCAATGCTTCCCATCATTCGATTGCGCAATAAATAAAGATCAACTTCGCACCACAAACATTTTTCTTGGAAAAAATGTCTTCCTTTTAACCAAGATTTCGGAGATAAACTAAAACGTTCATTTAACAATTTAATAATTCATATAATTATTAATTTTCAGAAAATATGAATAATTCTTATTATTTATTCTACCGGATTATGAGAGCATGCTCATAATCATGAAAATATAGCCGGTGGACAGTGGTAATCTGACATCTAGTAAAGTTATAATTTGCTAAAAAGACTAATAAGAACTGTTAATGTTGCCGCGACTCCTAAGAGGACACGGATAACTCGGGAAATTCAAAATTTATCGATCCGGAAAACACTTATGCAAAATCCCCACAAAACATCAATAATTAAATAACCCGTACAACAAGCATCGATTACCATAATTATGCAACCCTGAACCGTAAACGCACGCTCAAGTACCGCGCATTTTGACACCTCCGCGGTTGTCATATCTAAATCGGTAAATCCATTTCCCATCTATCATCGTTATAATAACATTTCATCTGTCATGTTCAAATGCACAAGTTATGCATTTACATTAACAGGAAATCCCAGGATTAGTTACAATACCAAATTCTAAACAAATTTAAAAATTAATACAATTATTATTAATAATAACACTTTAAAAAAAAGGAGAAAATAAGACGACAAGCAAAACGGGCGTTACTTTTAAACTTTCATCAGTTATCCTCGCTTACGGAAATGTAGGACACTTTTGCTAGTTCAAGTTGTTAAAAGAATAAAACTGTCAACTATGAAAAGACCAAAGCAATTTTCAATTTACCAAATTAAGAAGAAAATAAATTACAAATACAGTGACACGCTCTGAATTTTGGTCTAAACGAAAGCACAACCCTGTCACTGTACGTAAATACGATACAGGATGAACACAGACCGTTCGTGTGCCGCCACAATTAGCACTGCACAAAGATTCTGCAGGTTGTTTTGAGCGTTAGAAATGTCAAAAAATCTGTCTGCGCGTCAGACCTTCTTAAAAAACCGTAATATCAACAACAAAAAATCAGAAAATATTTACAAAAACGAACAGCTGCAACGCAACGTACCTGCTCGACACGACGATCCCAGTCCGCGTTGGGATTCCCCAGGAGCGTGTGGATGCGCATGAGCTCCTTGTCCAGCTCCGCGCCCGACTCAATCTCCACCGGTGTATACTGCTCGAAGGCCCGCCGAAACTGCTCCTTATCCACGGCCCCCGCGTCGGCACTGGCGGGGCCGGGGGTGGCCCCTTTGCGCGCGTGCATATCGGGGGAAATGCTGTTGGCGCGACGGTGATTGGTGGTGTTGGATGGTGCAGCAGCAGCGTTCCTTTTGTTCCGCGGTTCAGTCCGTGACATACTGTCATCAGTCCATCTTTTTCGCCATCAACAACGCCAAAATTCAACCCGGGAAAGATAGACAGAAAAAGGAAAACATCAAAACCTGTCTAACTAGTTTCCACGCACAGATGAATATTCATAGCGTTTTTCCATTTGACGCAATAATCAGCATAACGGCTTCTCGTGCTGAATAAAAATATCGAGCGATCAAGCGCGTGCGCACCTGCTCGCGATTTAGCCGCGAGCAGAGGCTGATTTCACGGGAATGTAAAACGGACTCGTTATCGTTGTGCACAATGTGGCAGCTTATTTTTCAGTTATAAAATCACAGATTTAAAAACTTTAATTGTCTTTAAATTATTAATGTTATTTCTGAGTTTGTAATACAACGAACAGGATTCTTTGCAGCAGGAGGCGGCGCACACGAGATTCGTGGACCCTAAAGGTAAATGCCTCGTTACGCCACTGGCCTTATGCAAGGACGGCCTTTTGTGCGTGTTTATGCTTGGCACTCAGTTGGCAGCTGCCAGCCAGCGCAGACAGCCGGGACAAATCAATCGCGATGAGATTATCGTTTTCACAGGGCGCACGCTTCTTATGGCATTTTGATCGCAGGATTTACAGCCGCAGCGGTTTATTTAAAGAAATCCGATACGCATTTTGACCTTTGCACGAACGGGCAGACCGTCTTACCCGCGCAATGAGCATTATTCAGGCAGGAAAAAAGAACTTCCGGTGCGTTCGGGCAACCGCCTAGTATGCTGAACGTTTCATATCTGCCAATCTGTGCGCATTTCACAAATACGTACTCAAACAGTCAAATAGCATCGAAATTTTTAACCTTCCCTTTTTCTCACTGCATCACGATCGAAAAAAATATTTTTATTAACCTTTTCAAGGTTTGAAAATGAATTTATAATTTCCGATGCCAGACAACGAGGAAGCGCACATACCGTTGTGTGCACAACCGGAATTCCGGGAATAAAAACGATCAAAAACCAAGTCGACTATGATTGGTCGATGTCTAATATGAAGGCGGTACCAGGTCGGAATCGGTCGGGCGGACGGTAACCCGGACCGAACCGATACCTACCATTGCATTCTATGGAAAACCAGCCCAGCGGGTTTGCAGCCGAACCTCTTGATGTGTGTCAGACGCCATGAAAATTTTTGCTTGACTTGAAATATTTCACCAGTCAAAAATTGAAAATCTCGCTCCATTTTCGATATTCGGACGTTAGTTGACGACTTTGTGACTTTGTCTTGATTTTTTCTGAGGAGTTTCCAATTGATGAATAGTGTATTTTCATCCCCAAAACATGCAGCAAGAGGTAGATCTTCATAAAACTGAAATTGCTGTCGTGGCCGTTACGAAAGTGTGTGATTCGCAGTGGAGGAACGACGACTACACACGGGATCGTCTGGACGACCCAGCAGCGAAACGGCCCCGTTACGAGACGACCAGCGCCCAGTACGGGAACGGGCATGCGTATCCGTCGCAGCAGCCCGTGCAGCAGGCAGGGGGCCGGGTAAATCTCGTCAATTTCGTGGTGCTTTGGTCCGTGTGCAGCGCTGACGAACAGGGTTTTCGTAGGGAGACGCCTCGTTTGAGGACCGCGCGAACCCGCAGCCGTCCCCCGTCGTTCACATTCGCAGCGTCCCTGAGACGGCCACGGATAACGAAATTATGGACGCGGCGTCTAAATATGGCGCAGTTAGGTAAGCCAATCGTCGTAAAAAGAAAATGTAAAGGAAAAGGGAAAAATGAACCCTTTTCGTGTGTCAAGTTCGCCGTATACTACTATGATTTCGTCAGAAAAAAAACCCGCTTTATGATTTTATTTAATTTTTGTTAGGAAATTTCCGTGATATTCCGTAACATTTATCTAAGGCATTTTTCAGATATTTTTCAACAATTTTTTGTATTAATAAACCCGTTTTCTTGTTTAAATCCCGTTGTAATGAGTGCTCAGTTTTTTTCAAAATTAAAAAAATTATTTTTCCTGGTTTTGGCTGGAACATTCGGTGAAGTCGTACATACCTTTCAGTATTTATTATCTTATTTTTATTCTAGGTGCGTTTTTGGTATTCAGAAGAAACGCATGGCTCTTGTGGAGTTTGTGGTAAGAAAATCTTTGCTGTAAAAATTTGCTGATTTTTGCTCTTACTTTCATCGGCAAAGCCGCAGTAATAATTCCATTTTTATCGCATTTGTAGGATATGAATGACGCCATCCGCTTGGTGAAGGTAAGAAACCCATAAAGCCCAATTATTAAAAGCTTGATGAGAAAAACGCATAGAAATTATTGAGATTCGATTTTTCTGCTGCGTGGTTGAGTTTGAGTTTATCAGTTTATGTTACAACAAAAATACGTTAAAGTTCTGTTTTGATGTTACATAGCATTATTTTTCAGAGTCAAGGGTTGAACATTGCTGGCGTGGATACGCAGGTGAATTATTCCACAAGCCAGAAGATCAACAAACCGTAAGTTACAATACTTCTGTGTGAAGGAATTGTTAGAATTATTGATTGATTCTATTTTTATTGATTATTATTAGAATTACTGATTAAGCACAAATATGTTGAGGAGTAAAATCAGATTATTAACGTTAATTAATGTTTTTCAGAGAGGACCCGCCCAAGAATATCCTTCTTATGACGGTTCTGAACGCACGCTATCCGATTGATGTCGTGAGTATTTCGTAATAATTAATCAGTATCCCAGTGATTTTCAGCGTATTGTGGAGTGCAGTTCAAAACTGATTACCGTATCTCCTTTTGTGACACATAATAAAATGTTGAAAACTAGCTTTTGGAATTAGGTGCATGATTATTTAGCGTTTGAGCGATTGTCTAATTGCCCTGTTACATCCGAAAAATTACAAGTTTATTTTGTGAATTAATAAAATTTTGAAGAGTTTTAACCTGTTGTGTGTGAATGTTTTTGAAATTCCTCCTAGTAATTTACAGTGTTACTCTCGGAAGATGTATCTCTGCTTCCTGGAAATTTTTAAAACATTGTTTTATTTTTGAGAAATTTTGTTGGCAGTTGTTTTACTCGTCACTGGATACAAAGTGTTCATTTTGTCGGATTTCTATTTGGTCATTGTTGTGTACAGGAAGTCATCCATAAAATCAGCCAGCCACACGGCCAGGTGATCCGCATCGTTATCTTCCGTAAAGCCGGCCAAGTGCAGGCCATGGTGGAGTTCGATTCCGTGGATTCCGCGGTGCGAGCCAAATCCTACCTGAACGGCGCCGACATCTATTCCGGCTGCTGCACACTGAAGATCGAGTTCGCGAAAATCGCTGTAAGTTCGAGCTGATTACGCGGGTTATTTTACATTTCTATTGCTACTGCGTAAAATAAATGTTCGAAATGATCTTTGTTTGAACATCAATAATATAAAAAGGGTTAATCAATAATATGCTTACAAATCGGTTTTAAATCTTAATTTTTCAAACAACGTTGAATTTTGATGGTATGCATTAGCATGTTTTCGTAATACTGTTGCTGTAAACAAATATTGTGCAGCTGTACCCGTGGTTTGAGTTGTTTCATTGAAATAACGAAGAATCTGCGATGTTACGTTGTGAAACCTGAACTTTTTTGCTGCAGTTTAATTCCGTTTTTTTCAAATAAACGTTGAATTTGATATTGTACATTAGCATGTTTTCGTAGTACTGTGGCTGTAAACACGAAAAGCTGTGCCTGGGTTTGAGTCGTTTCACTGAGATGACTAAGAATCTGCGATGTAACGTTGTGAAACCTGAACTTTTTCGCTGCAGTTTAATTACGTTTCAGCTTTTTACAGATATAAGGCAGATTGCTGGATAGAATTATACATTTATAGTGGTATTTCGTTTCGGTAATTATGGATGATCTGAAAGTTTTGATATTTTGAATTCCGTACTGACTAACATTTTCATGTCAGTTCGATCATCCAGGATATTTTGTAGACGCAAACACTGACCGTCGTGCGCAACGATAAGGACACCTGGGATTACACACGGGAATCACGTAAGTCACTGCAGTTTCCTCTTGTACGGTTTGCCGATACACTGGCTGTGAGAATAATATTGAATTTCAAGAAAAGAAGAAAAAAACATGAAAAAACGGCATCTGTTCGGCAGCGAACAGTGGTTGATGCCACTGCAAAATTAATCACTGACCGCCAAAAAAAAGATCCGCAAATCGAACAAAATGCTGGAGACCAGGCTGACTTTTGAAACTGTATACAGTCTGGTGGATATTGGTTTATTATTTATTTCTCATTGCAGCACTCCGAAAAAATATCCCAAATTCTTAATAAGTTTTGGAATATTTTTATTGGAATATCAGTTTTATTTTCTTGCAGTTCGCAAAAATTTTATAGGGATAAAGAATAATTTTCTAACGCTTAAAAGCTGAAATGTGAGAATTTGCGTGGTAATTATTGCACAGACATAAGCTGACTTTGTGTAAGCATGAACGATTTGTCTCTAATTTTCGAAAGTTAAGGCGCATTGATCGATAGGGTACAGATTTCACTAATTTCTTCAGTTCTAGGAATATTTTTTAAAGGCACCAGAAATGAAATAAAAAGTGAAATAATGTTATTTAGCAAAATAATGATTTCAATTTTATTTCCTAAATGCAGTATTTAATGATTTGTCATATTATTGGCTACAATTACAAGTTTGTTCTTAACTGTCTTTGATCATTCATGAACAAGCTCGAACCACAGCACCAACACGGGCACCAGCCAGCTTCCACGGAAGACCCACACACGCCGGATAAAATACACCTCGTCACTGCGGAGATAAAACTGACTTGTGCGCGTGTTCAGTGTTCAGTTTTCACAAACGGTATTTCGCCACACATTCGGGGTTGTGTTCAGCGCAGCCGCCCTGCAGGCGTCGCCGCACATGCATCGATCACAAGGTGGCCGCGTTCTTTTTGCAGAGTCCATGCACCAACACCGGCATACTTAATTTTTAATTTTCATTTAATTACTTATTGAAAAATCGTATTGATTGTAATCGTTGAACCTAATTTTGCGGGAATATTTTGAATTTCAAAGCAAATTTGACATTTCCTTCCTTTTTGGAAATATTTTTTTAGTTAAAAAGGGTTTGATATTTTTGCTGACATCCGTTCTTTTCTGTTGCGCTACCTAATCTGGAAAATTGAATATAAACAATCTAGCAAGTTAGTTCAACGAAATACGCCTAAATAGCAATTTAATTTGCAGAATTTTATTAACTTAATTTTTTAGCTAATAAATGCTAATTGTGGCATATCATTTGATTCACATTCCACCGTACTAATTGTAGCATACCTATCATGGTTTCATGTAAATTTACATGCATGCGAACGTGAAAATATTTGATTAACAAAACCTTCGCCATGTCGACATAATCATAAAAACCCCGACTGCCACTGATCAGGATCAGAAACCAGAGACTTTTAAACCACACAGCACAATTTGACAATCCGGAGACAGACTGAACTGAACGCACACTCCACTATCATTGCAATACCGCACAAATCTCCAGCCGCGAAAGTGAAGGCAAGTGTTGTATAAATATAAATGCCCGCATATTAATACAGCATATATAATACATCCTCGTAAGGCAGTTGCATTGACAATCATAAGATCAAATTTAATTTACCACTCATTTCATCGGGGTGAATATTTAAAAAAAACACGTATGGGGCTTTGCTGGCTGCACACCACTACACTGTCATGTGAAATATCTGCTTCCCCCCGTCTTGTGCCCGCTTGTGTGATCTGTGCATGTGCATGACCCTGGCTACTGTGGCTGCTCTGGCTAACACTCACCTCCATCCCTTTTTGACGGACCGTTGTATGCGGAATATCTGATTGTTGTTTGACCGCAGCGTGGATGGGTCTCGGTGCCGTGGATGCCGGCTGATGCCCGTTGGAGTGCTGGGATATCGTGTGGATGATGGAGCAGGGTAATGTGACGGGTGGTGTCTTGCAGTGGGGGAGCCAGCACGACCACCGCCGCTGCTGGAGAAACCGGCGGATATGCCGCCCGGCCATTATGGCGATCCGTACGGTGAGGAATTCGGTGAAAACTGTTGTGAAAATGTTGATATCTTTGGGCTGCGGTTGTGACTGTGGTCAACAGGATTCCGTTATAATGATATCACTTAATGATTGCAAATTTTCTTGTGAATTCTGGAGCTAATTATTATTTAATGATAATTCATATGATAATTAAGGAAATTATCGTGGTAAATACCTTTCTTTGTACCTTGCCATATCGTAAAATCGCCATGTAACAGTACTTAGCACCACGAAGAGATTATTGTAGGACCGTGGCTGATGGAAGCGGCACAACTTCGAGACATACCCGAAATTACTACTTGTTTGAAAAATTGTTCGTGAGACCTATCATTAAAATAGTTTTTTCATTTGCAACTTTTGCGATATAGCAATAATTTATCTACGTGAGGTTGTCCCTATGTCCAGTTTAGAAGAACTTAAATATACTTTAGCATTTCATGTTTGTGAGGAAAGGCATCCGTGATTATATAAAAATTTCCCAAAGGTTTTTTTTACGAACGTTTCCAAATTTGCTTGAAAATCTTGAGATATTGTCTCAGTTAATTTATAAAAATTAAATGATGATTAATTGCTGAAATGTTGGCAGGGAATCGCGGCTACCAGCCCGCCCCGGCCTATGATCAGCGGGCGCCGTACGGCGACCAGAGCCGGCCGACCAGCTACGACCAGTACCAGCGTCCGGCGCAGCCCGTGGCGCAGGGAGCGTACGATCGCGGCGGATATGATCGACGCACACCGCCGCCGCACGGCCAGTCCTATCCGCCGGTGGATCCCCGGGGGCGTGAATATGAACGCGGTGGAGCGCCGCCGCCGCAGTACGACAGCTACGGCAGCCGTCAGGAACGGTATGAATAATCGGCACTTTTTACATGACCATTTTTTGTATTAAATGTCGCTCATGTGCATAGTGAAATGCCTACAACATTACGTTTAGCAACACAGTTAGTAAATTATACGAGCAATATGGTTTTTCCTTAGCTGATTCGGACGACATGCCTACATGTCTGCGATACATAAAACAAAAATAGAACTCACTCAGTAAATTTAAAAATAAACAGAACACATATTAATATAGCCGATAATATTTTCTTCCGGTTAAATTCGAGCTTAGATCCTGGCAATCGACGGCTTGAAGCCACAAGACTACGATTTGGCGCTAGTTGGGTATTAGGGTTTCTTAGTTGGAGTCAATTATTATTGAATTAATGATTGTTATTATCGAAATGTTGCAATACTTCACAATAAAATTGCAAGAATTTGCACACCGAAGCTACCGAGTCAGTTTTTCACTTATCCTGAATTTTAAAATAGTTTTTGAATAATTTATGTGGATGATCGGATAATGTTTTTTTCCCTTTTTTATGACATTTTTTTCCGCCGACTTCATGCGTTCTGGTATGATAATTAATACTGAGATTTAGTTACAACTCTGAAATGCCACAGGAATCGTTATCTTGGTGATTCTTGGTTACTTATTCCGTTTGTAATTTGCGTTTTCATTGTGGAACAGACGCGATCAGTACGGCGGTCCGCGGGATGATCGCTACGACAGCCGCAGCGGTGGAGGAGGCCGGTATGAGGAGCGCGGACCGCAGAGCGGCACTCGCTACGGCCAGCCGGGGGGCGCCCAGGAGTCCAGCGGCGCCGTGGTAATGCTGTACGGACTGAATATGGATAAATTCAACTGCGACCGATTGTTCAATCTCTTCTGCATGTACGGCAACGTGATGCGGGTACGTGACGCTCTGGACCGACGATCGGCTGCGGATTTAATGGAGGTATGGGTGGTTATGGTTTTAGGTGAAGTTCCTGAAGAGCAAAGAAGGCTCAGCCATGATCCAGATGGGCGACACGATCTCCATGCGGCGGGCCATTGAGAATCTGCACGGGATTACCGCGTTCGGGTCGAAGATTCAAGTGACGTGAGTGCTGGAAATATTCAGTAATTAATTCATGGGAAACGTTGAATGGTACAGTACTGTACTTCAAATTTTCAATCTCCAGTATTACTGCGGCAGTTTGTGATTGAAGGATGTTCAGAGTCTCAGATATACAAATTTGATGATTTTTGTGAGCTATAAAATCAGAGTAAAAAGCTTTTTAATGTAGATCAACGAAGTGTGGTTAAAAACTTATTATAAATAAGTACATGAAAAAATTTTTTTCAAAACATTTTATCGTGGAAATTCTCTTACAATCCTGGGATCACTCCATTTAAGTTCTATTCCCTGTTAGCCCTTTTACTACAATTTTGACTATTTCTACGATGATACGTTCGGTCCCATAGCACGTAATTTTAAAAGACTCATCTGCTTCTCTGTTGATAAGTTATTGTCCGTTGGCACATTGTTAAGACTTTACATTGTTTTTCCCAGATTGTTTGTACTCGTATTTACGTAATATGACGCATAGCCACGTTCATGTGTATGTTTTGTACCTCCAAAATGAAGTAATGCTATTATTAAACAGTTACAAGCGGCCTTAGTATGGCATAAGCCAGTCGCGGTAGCGTTTTGCCGATGCTTTTGTAATTTTATTAGTGCTTCGTTTAATATTATTTGATGATCATTCGCTGATGATAATAGTGATTGTTATTAGGCAATCGCGGCAGCCGTCGTTGAACGATGTGCCCAATCCGTACACGCTGCCGGACGGGACGCCGTCGTACAAGGACTACAGTAACGCGCGCAACAACCGCTTCAGCACGCCGGAACAGGCCGCCAAGAACCGCATCACGGCGCCCACCAAGTGTCTGCACTTCTTCAACGCCCCCGCCGGCTCCGACGAGGCCGAGGTGGAGGACGTGTTCGTGCGCACCACGGGCCGGAAGCCGGACACGCTGATCATGATGAAGGGCAAATGTACGTGCCGGTGCAGTTTATCTTACTATCGAATGGCGATTTAATCTGTAGGAAGCGAGGAAGATTGAATTGAAAATATTTTAAACAACGAAAATTTAGTCAATTGATTAATAATTTTAACCAACGAAAATTTCGTCAATTGATTAATAAATGAATTTAATTAGTAATTAAATAATTTTTATGATTTCGGTTATGTAAGGATAATCATACAGCTGCGGGCTACTTAATTTGGTATTAAATGCACGCTGTTTGATGTTATAGCGGAGCGCAGTGAGTCGGGATTCGTGGAGTATGAGACACTGGAGGCGGCTGTCGAAGCGCTGGTGCAAGTTAATCACACGGAATTGCCCAACAAGAGCACGCAGAGTACGTCGAAATTATTTTGTCATAGTCGTAAAATGCCCTTTATATGATAACGTTTAGTACCGAAATGAATTCGCCAACGAACGTTTAAAAATTAAAAAATCCCAGTTTAAATTTAACGTTTCAAAACAATTTTTTAAAAATTTAAGATAATTTGGCAGTATTATTTTCGAACTAATTTTAAATTTATTGAGAAATAAAAATCTGTATTTTTAAATCAGTATTTTAAATCAGCTTTTTAGTTGATTTAGCGTTTAAATTTATTTATTTAATCGGAATTCCTGTTGCAATTTTTTATCTGTAGTTTGAATTTTCTGAACATATTTCCTTTGTCTTTTTCGCCATTTTGTTGCTGTAATTTGGTGTTATTTTCGTTTCCACAGAGGGCGCTTTCCCGTACATCTTCAAAGTGTGCTTCACGACGCCCAACGTGCACACTGCCCGCCGCGAGGGGGGCGGCGCCATGGGTGTGGCGGGCGGCGGCCATCCCGGGAGCAACGGATCGCAGTCGTCGTCGCATCCGCCGCGACGGAACACGTGAAAGCGGACGGTCACCTGGAGTTTTTTGTTAAAGCTGTTGTTATTGCGTTTCTCTCATGATTCGAACTAGTACTGAGCCACTGTACACCTGTATAGTAATCGCTGCTTATTCGTTATTGGTATTCTTTTCTGCAGCGTATTAATGTGGCGTTTTTGGGAGAAAATTGCGCGGTCACCGCGGTAGATTTCGATTTTTGTTACCTTTTTCTTTGTGTGAATATTATCACGCTTGCTGTTTTTTTTCGGGGCATTTTTGCGGGCAGAGTTGATGGACAAGTAGATGCTAGCGTTAACTTACGTTCGTGTCAAGGAATTATTTGGTATTTTATGTCCGCTTGCGGGAATAAAACTTGGCGGATTTTTGAAGGATTTCTCGGTGTTATGCGCATCAAAATAAAAGAATATAATATTATGTGTATTTATTACAGTCTTCAGTATGCAGCAATAAATTGCAAGCAAACACAAATAAAAACAGACTTAGTTTAGCCAGTAAAACATCAGATAACGTAGAAAAAAAGAAAATTTAAAGCAATTAAAAATACAAATGACAGCATCTGGGCGGAACAAACCGATACTCCGCGGTTTTTCAAGTTATTCGCAATATGTAGTTGCATGAGCTATGAAAATCGCTCGCAAACAGACACAGCTCAATCTTGAAATACTCGCAGTTAATTAACTGAGAATATTTGAACATTAAGCAATTGCTTGTTAATAAAAATAAGCACAAGAAAATTGCATGATATAACTAAAACCGATACAGAATGCCGAAATCTTATCGCTAATTAATAAACTGTCAATAAGAAACGCCAAATTATTTAGAAATGAGCCGTTAAAAAATTGCGCGTTGTTTATTACTGTAACTTATACACACTTATTTTTTAGTGTTTCCAAGTACGGAAAAAGATAATATAAATATGCTTCACAAATTTTCTAGTAATTTTAAAATTTTTGTGTTCTTAAAAAGCTAATGAATATTCGCTTTGCTACAGCGCAAAAAATAGCTGAAGGATAAGTCCATAACTTTATTGAAGGAACTGGTAATAAATCACAAAAATCAACTATAATCCAAACAGCACACAGCAGATCCAACAAAATTAATCCAAAACATCTGTAACGCTCGAATTAATCAAGCTCATTAGTAGAAATGGCAACAAACAGGGAATCATCAAAATACTACAGGTTAACGGCAATTCACGACACTCATCAACACAAAAAAATAATCCAATCTGTTTTTGATTATGCGGTTAGAGATTCGCGGGGAAAATTTGTTAATCATAAAATGGAGCAAATGCGGTCAGAAAAATTTACGGGTCGGTTGGGAAGACACTTTTGTGCAAAGAATCCGCAGAATCACAATTCCGTCACAGGCTGACTTTGAGCGTCAATGTAGCGCTGATTGACGTAGCAGTCGCGCTGACGACCACTGCCGATCACTTCGTACAGGAATCCTCCTCCTCATCGTCGCTCGCCGAGTCGTCGTTCTTCTCGAAAACGCGTCGCGGATCTCCTGCAATATTAAAATACGACGAGAATTATATTATAATTTTCCTGAATTTTTAAACATTCAATTTTGTTATTCTAAGATTATTTGTTTTAAAAATAATTTTGTTTTGAAAAAATCAACGTCTGCTTAATTTTCAGGTTCTGAGGTTTTTGAGTCTTTTTCATATTTTTAGGTTGTTTTGATGTAATTTTTAAGAATCAAATTTAATCAACGTTTGCTTAATTTTCAGGTTCTGAGGTTTTTGAGTCTTTTTCATATTTTTAGGTTGTTTTGATATAATTTTTAAGAAAATCAAATTTAATCAACGTTTGCTTAGTTAGGTTGACCACACTTTACAAACTCATTACAATAAAATCTAACGATAAGTGACGCATTCTTATGTAAATAATTTCGTAAAAGTTACTGCTGGTTTCGGAGCGAACGAATTATAATGTTCTTCGCCGCAACAACTGCAGTAAAAATATGAAAAAAAATGTTTACTTGAGACACACATAGAACCAGTTTACATCAGAGGCTTCATAAAATCGTTCGAATCAGGACTGGGTACCAACAGCCCATACACTACGAATTTCTCACGAAAAACGAGTTAAACGGTACAACAATGCTTTTTCAGCCAATCTTCCGGGCCAATTCGGTGTATAAAAATATACGTACAATAGACAAACATGCAGCTACTGTTTTAATAAAAATTCATTGAGAAAACCGGCACAAAACGAAATTTATTAAAAAAGCACCAATTTCTCCAAGCAGTCGTTTAAAGTATTTCTGTCATCTTGACCACAAGAATAAAAACATCAAAGTACGCACAATGCAACAAAAAATGCGCATTCAACAAAACCCTGATAAATATTTCTAAAACATTCCCGTAAATTCAATTTCAAAGATTTACCGGCTATTTATCATTTTCAGTGAATTTTATTTGTTTAACTTCACATAAATCTATTTTAATAATTTTTTATTGATTTTTATGTCTTCCCATCGTACCTGCATCGTGTAGCACGGGCTGCGCATGCGCCCGGATAAACTGGGCCGGATCGTGGAGTTCCGGCGTGGGACTGACGCTCTGCATGGTGGGCGTGCTGCTGTTGGTGGCCGACACGAAGGCCATCAGTTCCGACGGCTTCCGGTCCTCATGCCGGTTCCCGCACAGCTTCCGCAGACAAGTACAGCGCAGCCAGTCGCTGTACATCTGCGGACGGTAGCGGTAGCACAGATAACAGGAGAACGCGGCGCCGATCACCAATAAAGCGCCGATAATCACCAGAAGGGGAAGGAACAGGTGGCTGCCGACCCCGGGGGCGGCGCACAGGGCGCGGAGGGCGGTGAGGCGGGCGGGGTCGGTCATGCAGTCCAGACCTAGTTGAACATCGATCGAAATTCTCCAAAAATGGATAAACGCGAGGAGAAATTGTGGAACTATTAATTTATGTACTTTTATTTTCACAGCGCCATTTTATCATTAATAAAACCACAGCATGCTTAAATTACCTTTTGACGCGTAGTTCGCATTTTTCATTCCTTTTTTCGAAAATAGGGTGCGACTATTGTCACCCCCTCACACCCCCTTTTGGCTATTGTCACCCCCTTTTTTTAAATAAAATAAACACCCCCTTTGACTGTTGTCACCACCTTTCTCACCCCCCTTTGGCTACTGCCACTCCTCGGTCATTTTTTTTCAAATTGTTGCTGGGTTGACCTTTCAGCCAACTTAGAAATAGTATTTTACAGCTTGATAGTAAGTATACTTGACAGAATAAAATTTGCATAATTATAGTACTTATTGTTTTGGTTTCCTAAGTTTCTTAGGTTTTCGTTTTCGTTGGTTTTATTTGGTTTATCTTAAGCCACCAACCAGACTTTCGTCATTGATCGATCGAAAAAGTTGCCAGAAACGATCCCCAGCGCAGGACTCTAGTTTATAAATCCGCCATAAAGCGCACACGGCAAAGACCTCGGGCGAACGGCCGTTCCAACGCATGCTAAGGGCAGAATGCTTAGTACGTACATTCTGACAAAAGCACCATGCGGTATCAGTGTGACTGTCTCGCGTCATGTACATACGGGCTTCCATGTCGTCACACGATGGCCTCGAATGTCCACCGGAAGGAACCGCTGTTTCGTGTAAAGGACTGCCTCGATTGCTGGTTAAGAACTGCCAACCAAACTGGCAAGAAGAGAATTGAAAAAGAGCCGTTTATGGCAAAATTATAAGAATAAACTGAAAGGTGGTGACAATAGTCAAAGGCGGTGCAGGGGGGTGACAATAGCCATTTCCTTAAAAATATGCTATAAATAAACTGGAATATCAGAAAAAATATGTCCCAAAAAGCTAAAAAAGGCATTAATTAGTTAGATCAGGACATCAGGTTACTAGTTGCTTGTAATACGCTGTTTCTGCTCATTGATTTTTTTATCAAATGTATCGTAGTTCAATGGCTCGAACCTGTTGGGCGTCTTTACGTCAAACTAAAATTCTTTCAGAAACAGCCGAACTAAAAATGAACTCAAATACTGTTTTTACGTTTTTCCAATACGTTTGGCAGGCAGAATTAGTTCACATTTCTTTAGCAAGACAGATAACAGGATGGCATTATTTTTTTGTCATGTCCCCATCACAACTTCCATTTAAAATAATAAATTTTAAGCAGGATTCCAGTTTTTATTCATCCGCTTGTTTTCGTGTAATATAAAACAGAATATTAGATATAAAAAGTATTTTAAAAAAATTAAAAAATCTATAAAACTATATAAAAATATATATGAAATACAAGAGAAATAAATCAGTAATTTACATATAATATAAAAATAAATATGAAAATATAGATCTCACCTTTCCACTGCTGTTCCCCGGCGTCCAGCACCCCCACCATCCAGCACGCACACTGCACATCAGTCCCGGCCACATCCAGGGTGATCCCCTTCTTCCGGGGATAATCCGTAATCTCTGTGAACAAATTTCCGCGCAAGACCACCTCCCGCAGCTGCACACCGGCGTCCAGCCCCGCCAGACGCCCATCGTCGATGCCGCAGTAGGAGAGATTTAGGGAGACCAGGTTGGGGAAGTGCTGGATGACCAGCGGGAGACTGTCGACGCCAGTGTAGGACAGATCCAGGAATTGGACGGGATGCCCGAGGAAGACGCCGGCGGTGTCGGTGGTGGTGTTCGTGGCGTTGGTGTCGGTACTGGCGCGGAAGGAGGCGGTCGTTAAGTGGTTGTGGTGGAGCGATAGGCGGGAGAGATTAGGCGCCGATGCGGCGGCGAGATTACTGGCGTATAAAAGTTCCAAATCTAAATAATACAGCAGTTGTTCAGTAACAAATCCCCGTTACGCTGGTTAAGTCAATTTAGTGCAGCATTAAATTAATCAATTATTAAGTCAATTAATTACAGCATTTAATAGAGCAATCATTAAGTTAATTAATTCCAGCATTTAATAAAGCAATCATAAAGTTAATTAATTACAGCATTTAATAAACAAATTATTATAATTTATTATTAAAATCATTTCCATTAAAAATAGTCTCCATGATTTTTTCACGACATTTTTCGAAATATTCGAGCACGGTATTTGTTGAAATAATCCAGCGGGTGCTACCGCTCGATCATGGATGAAATTCACGCACAAAATAATTTATAAAATCCTGTACAAAATGTGGCACGAATCTAATACCACGAAAAACAAAAACAAAAAAATTCGTTTATAAAATTATTAATTCGAAAATTGGCAAGCTTTTAGGCTGCCGGATCAGTCGCAAAATCTGAATTAAATTGTAGCAAATAATAAATTCAAAACCTGAAAAACTGAAGGAAAATATGACATTTTGTCGAAAAAGATTTTACGAAAAATCCCAAAATCGAAGTTAAAAAATCGCTAATTAAATCGAAATTAATTAATAATTTACCTGTCAGCTGATTTTCAGCCAGATCCAACATCTCCAGCGCTTGCAACCCCACAAAATCCTCCACGAAAAATTCCCAATAAGATTCCCTTTTAAAATCAGCACCTTCAACAACTTCAACTGCTGAAACGAGCCTTTTCCAGTCTGCGAATTTTATTCTCCGACAAATCCAGTCGGCGCAACATCAAATTCCCCCGAAAATCCTCCCCACGGATTTCCTCAATTTTATTCCCGGATAAATCCGCCCATTCCAGGGATTTATACGTCTGCAAGTCATGGCCAAGTTTGGTCAGGAGATTCCCGGAGAAAACCAACGAACGCAGCTTAGGATCGAAAAAATGCGAGATCGACGCGTAGTCTGTGTTGACGCATTTTGCCACGGGAAATAAATTTTCTTCCTTCAAATCGTTCTTCACAGCATCACTATTAATGCAGGTACAATTCTTCATAAAAGTACATTCATCAGCGGCCGTAGAAATCCCGATGAACGCGGCGAAAGATAAGAGCAACACCGAGATAAACAACAGGTGGTGCGACACATCAGATGGAATCTTATCGCAGAACGGCATCATTGCGGGATGCACTGTACAGTAGCAGATGGAGAATTATCATTCTAACACACTGATGTTGGAAAGATGATTAAACTGGCTGATTAAAAATCTCGAGAAGAATGTTTCAGAAGGGATCCCGCTGTGAGCAGCATCGCTTGATGCGGAGATTGTGGTGGTAAAAAGCAGACCCACTGCGGTGTGACTGACTGCAGCCGCAGATGAAATCATAATCGAACAGGTCGAAAAAGATCGATCGGAATGTGCACGGGTAAACCGCAGTATTAGGCTGACCGCCCACGGATGGGGCCTGCGTTCAGTATGGTGCCGTGCACGTTGTGTGAAGTTTTTTCATGAGTTAAAAATTAGAAGATTATTCCTTGTAAATGGATGCTTTTTGGGCTCTTTTTATTGGTTTTCTTAGCTTACCTTGGTTTCTTACGTTGGCTTCTTAGGTTCTCTTAGGTCTTATGTCGGCTGTTGTTTTATATATTCTCTTACGTTTTCTGATTTTTTCGTATAATTTCTTATGCTTTTTATAAACATTTTTGCATGCCTTCTTATATTTTCTTGTGCTATCCTTTTGTTTCTTATGTTATTCTTAAGCTCTTATTGCTTTTTTTAATGTTTTCTTTTGTTTCTGACGATTTCTTAATTTTTATGTTATTTTATGTTTTAAAATGTCAGCAGATTGTCGTCAGCAAAATGTCGGAAGTCGGCACACTCTCGTTCGTCCACTTGTCGGTCACCGATTTGTCGTTGCAACAAATTGCCGGGTAAACATTTTGTCGATCCTCAAAAAGTCATCAGCAAGTTGGTGGTCAGCAAGTTGTCAATGTGCCGCTATAGGGGAAGGCTAGCGGCATCGCCGACCGTGAGCGCGACGGCGTAGTTCACCGCAAAGCAGCAATAAAACGTGGGGTGCACATCGCAAGGCATTCGCCCAGATGTCGGTATTTTCAAGTGCTGTATGACAGACAATGTTGAACGTTGGGTTGGGTTGGGGCGCAGACTCTGTAGTCCGACTCCAGAGTGTGTTTCTATTAAATAACATGCTCGTATTGTATGGAGACGTGATCATAGACTCGTAGTACCTAATGTCACACAAGTCGCGTTGGTTTCCGTTGCACATCGACTGACGTAGCTACTCCGTCGCCCGCTTGTTTTCTGACACATCTTCATCCGGTCTTCGATGACCAAGTTTTAACGTACAAAAGTAAGTACTTACTGCTCTCCACAATTGCCTGTCTATTCCAGTCTCGAACGGCATTTCATCATGGCACCTCCGCAATGTGTGAGGTGACGTCGCATACCGGCTGCCATAGCAACCATTTTTATACCAGTACTAAGATTAGTACGATAACATAGCCAGTCAGGCAGTGAGTGGCCTTGCGTGCACATTGAAGTTTCAAAAGAAAATAAGTGGTGTAAGTCCTTTCAATAGACATTCACAGTACTGTCTGTACATGATCAATTTTTCCATAGCGGTTCGTGCTGCTTTACAAAGTCCCATTCATTCACCATCATGTAGCCCGAAAATGATAAAGACGTTTCTGTTGCATACGGTTTGATGTGCACCTGATTCTGTGTAGTCGGGATTTGTAAAGTATGCAACTGGGAACAATTCACGAGTGACGTCCGAGCAGAGAACGTTTACGCCAGGTTGCGATGCTCTTTGAAAGATGCTTCAGTTACCGAGCAGGTAAGCGGCTTACGTATTCATATTGCATTTGTGCGTGCCACAAGTGCACGTAGGAAGATCACGTTCCAATAACCTCTTGTGAAGGCTAGTACAGTATATTAAAATATTTTTGACCCCTGCATTTGCTCCGTTTCTTCCGGTGCATTCAGCTTGTGGCAGTGAAGCTTACTTTCGGAATTCCCATTGTGCTAACGCTTATTTTACGCGTTTCGTGGGTATGGGCCTGGATCCGCGTTTCGATTTCCGCTGGTGGCTTTGTATTTTTCTGGGTGCCGTTTTATAATACATATGTTGATTATTAAAATACAAGTTCTTAAAATACGTCTTTGAATTTGTTTTAAAATAAATATTAACAGAATTAAATATAATACGAATTTTAGTACGTACGGTAATTTGATGCCGATGAGTTACTGATTATTTTTTGAGTTCACCTGCTGCGCATAAGTAGTGTTTACTTATGCGTCGGCGTTTCCCATGAAGTTGTTATTAAATTTTATTTTGAACTTCAACTGTTTTACGTCTCAAGCAAACCACAATACTACTTTGTACATGCAGGTAAGTACTGTATTCACGGCTGTGCTGCAATTGTTCTGCAGAGTGCGTGAAATGCGCAGTATAATTAGTTTTATACCAGAATTTAGTGCATTTATATACTCGAAGATGTTGTACTGCGTGACCGTTGGTACGTCAAGTACCAAATTTCTAAGTGCAATGGAAGTTGTGAATTGTAATTTTGATAAGCTTGTTAACATAAACCGGGCTTTTCACCTACTACGTTTTTTATTCGCGTCAGTAGCAACAAAATTTTTCGCACTTTTTACGTAAATCGTGAGAAACTAAAACACAAGCGAGTTACACAACATCTACAAACACAGGCGGGCGAATGACAGAGAATATTTCGTCTAAATTCGCCGCCGGTGGTGCTGTTCCCAGTATAGATGCTGTGTTTCCCCGCTGTATTTCGATGCTGATCCGTTGACGCAGAAACTCTAGTGCTCGCGGTTCGCCTGACTGCTGCTGGATCATCTTTCCTAGCACGTTCAGTAGCTGGGTGGTTTCTGGTCCGAAACCACCCAGCTACTGAACGTTTTTTCTCTCGGGCTTATTTTTCTCCTCTTCGGTTCACAAACTGTACACTGGCAGATATTTCAGAAGCAATATTGAAATCACTTACTCTGTGATAGTGTGATTTACTACTTACTCTGTGACTGTGAACTAACCGTAAGTGTGATGCGTGATGCGGTCGATATAAACCAAAAGTTAACGCTTTCGAGCTCTCGGTGCTCTCGGTGTAGGTGTTTTGCCGCTTGACGGATTCCGGGGCTTCCAGTCTACTGCTTCACAATATCGCTAACCAGAGAACATTTTCCGCCTCCAAATTCAAAAAATTCTCATGTTTTGTAAAATGGTAGTCTACTATTGTAGTACGCTTAAAAAATTATTTATATCTGCCATCGTCAAGGGGGCGTGGCCAGACAACAATCAAAAGTTTGCATACTATCACATACTGTGTAATGCAGTGCAATATAAGTTTACTGTGTTAACGTTTCCTGCAGCACCGTGGACTTTTGCAGCTGTCGAGTAATGATGTAAAAGAAGCCCACGTTCTACGGCTCGCGCCATTGCTGCCTAAGAAAACATTTTCAAAAATTTGTCATCCATTTATGTTGGGAACAATAAGTTGTGCAATAAAACTTTTTTCTCCTAATACACAGATACGTGCTTCGTGACGAATTTTTGAATTACGAATAACATTTGTGCTGCATTGCGTTACACAGTATGTGATAGGATGCAAGCTTTTAATTGTTGTCTGGCCACGCCCCCTTGACGATGGCAGATAAAAATATTTTTTTAAGCATACTACAATAGTACACTACCATTTTACAAAACATGAGAATTTTTTGAATTTGGAGGCGGAAAATGTTCCCTGGTAAGCAGTTCAACATCCCCGTCATTGTTGACCATGTAAACAGCATCTATTCCGGGTGTGTCACGTATTGCAAATAGTTAATAGGGATATTTTAACGATACGATGTGAAGGCTAGCTAGCCAGTATGCGAACTGAGCATAAACAGACATAAATACAACCAACAATCAGGCCAGCAATCAACGCGCTGCGTAAGTACAGCAAAGCAGAAATACGGGAATACTACAGGGTGGTTTCTGTGAGGAAAATGGAAGCTCGTGTTTGTGGTACAGGTCTTCTATAAGCATACTGCCGAGCGAGTTTTATCTCCTCGAGATGGCCACGGGATCGAATTCGGGCAAGCGCATTTTCTGGTATTGTTCGGAAGTAAAGGTTTTGATGCTCGAGCGGTGGTCGTGTTTGTTCATAATGTCGGTATGTGCACTGCAGTTCGTCGAACGCTGATTGAGGCAGTTGTCTTTCCAGAGCCAGTATTGCCTTTGATGTAAAAAGCCGATTCCTGAACTGCCCGGACCGGAAGAAAATTCATAGGTATCAATGTACTGGTTTGCGATTAACGTGCTGGCAGTTTAGTTTAACGTGTTGTCAGTTTGCTCAACAGTGCTCCCAAAAAATGTAGAATTGTGCCGTAAATTCAATTAATTTGCTGGTAATATGCCAGTTGCGTTAAATTAAAAATCTCTTTTTAAGCGACGGACCATCCGGCTTCTCCGTAAGGGCAGATTAATATACGTTCCGCAAAGGCAAATACAGGTCTGAAGTTGGCTCGATTAAACGGGGTGTTTCTTCGTTAATTTTCCAACGAAAAATCACCCTTTCTTGCAAAGGTTGATTTCGCTCAGTTACGATGACCGCTGCTATTTCGTCAGAAGTTGATTCGCGTAGTTCGAGTCGTGCTTCGTCACTGCAATGTCAGCATCGAATCTCGGGTTGTTTGGTAGTGCGAGTTTGATCCA